GCCGACAAAGTCGTGGCGCTCCTTGAAGCGCTGCAGTCAGCCGTTGCTAGCCACAAAATCATCGTGCCCCATAATGCACGTGAAGTTCCTTGCCTTCTGCTGCAGAAGTGCCCGGCTCACAGGAGGACCGATTGCTCTGATTTCTCAAAACTAGTTGAACACCGCCTTTTCGATAGCTTCGAAGGTGGGGGCTCGCAACTTCATTCGGTCGCCTTTGGCGCCACGTGCGGCAGCGCCGGTAATGCTCTTTCTCTTGTTTAAGATTGTCGACAACGTGCTCAACAATACGCCGAAATGTTTGGTCACTTTTTTTTTTTCTTGACGTCGGGCGCAACGACTTCTGCTTAATTGTTATATTTTCGCGCTTACGTTTGCCGCTGCCGTTTTGCATCTTGTGTCTTCTTTGACAGCCAGCAACAGGGAAAAAGGCCACCATCTCCGCTGCCCCAGCACGGAGCTGAAAGGGAAGAAGGACGTCAAATGCGCAGGCGGGTCAACGAGTTCTACATGAGAGGGGAGGCCGACTGACGCGCAGGCTCGTGCGAGTTGCTGTGCGGGCGAGTACATTAGTTCCCGAGGAAAGAGGGGAGGCAGGGAGACTCGCACCCACGCGCGTGTTGGCAGGCGACTCTATGGGAGCGCAAGGCACGAATTTTGAAGGGCCTCAGCTATGATGAGATGTAAACCCTCGCGCACTATAACATATGGAATTTATGTATACCAAAATGATCAGTAAATGCTCGTTGTGGACAAAAACAGGTTCATTATATCCATTGTGAGGAAACTTTCGCTTAGTTAATATGATGTTTTATATACAAGTACGTCTTTGGGAATTGCAAGGGGAATTATTATTGCTTCGTTACATTCATTAGTTTGTTATATCCCACTTTGTTATAACGAGGTTCTACTGTATAGCTTTAAAAGTCGGCACAGTAAAATCTTGGTGGTATAATTGCGGCTTATACGAATTGCGAAGGCCCCGCCGCGGTGGTCTAGCGGCTAAGGCACTCGGGGGCTGACCCGCAGGTCGTGGAATCAAATCCTGGCTGCGGCAGCTGCATTTTTGGTGAAGACGAAAATGCTGAAGGCCCGTGTGCTCAGATATGAGTGCACGTTAAAGAATCCCAGTTGGTCGAAATTTCCAGAGTCCTCCAGTACGGCGTCTCATAATCATATGGTGCTCTTGGGACGTTGAACTTTGCATATCATCATCATCATCACGAATAGCGAGGTTATACAAATTTCCCTGTGGTCTCAACCAACGCCCATTGGCCTGCTGTGTACTACCGTAAAATTCCGAGCAAACGCCCCCACCCGAGCAAGCGCCCCCTATCAAAACTGGCGCCCTTGCTCTGTCTCTAGTCATTGCTGGATCTAGCCATAGCCGTTAGGCTTGGCGTGTGTTCGGTGTGTTAACGTAGCCAGGCGGTATTGTTCGTTGTTCCTCTACGTTGACTTTGCTGCACGATGCCGTAGATGCGTTCTTACACTGTTGCGAAGAAAATTGAGGTGGTTCAGTGACATCGCCAAGGTGAAAGATATGCGCATGCAACCTCGCGGCACTTCAACATCGATCGACGATGCCCACTTCGAGTTTTTCGAAAGTGAGCGCAGTGCCGGGCGCGCTGTTAGCAACAGGTTGCTTGCAGAAGAGGCAGTGGGCGTAGCCAGGAGCCTGCAGCTCGAAAACTTGGTATCGTTGGACCATTATATTGCCAGGTAGAAGAGCGTTTCAGCATCTTCATACGACAGGCAACGAATGAAAGCCAAAAGATGCTGGATGACTACGCAGAAGCAGTGCGTGCCTTTCAGTTGTCCGTGAACGAGCTGCGATTGATATATGACTACACGCCTTGTAATATGGCCAACATGGACCAGACAATGGTCTGCATGGACTGCCCGGCATCTCAAACAAACAACATCATCAGGGAAGGTTCTGTCAGGATCCCCAGTACTGGATGTGCAAGGCGAATATTCACAGTCGCACTCGCTGCCTGCGTGTCCGGCCACAAACTTCCGGCCTACATTATTTTGAAGGAGCCGAGCGGCAGGATTCCAATGAAAGCTGTCACAAAAATTCGTTTTCCAGGTGGGTTTCTATTTTTTTTCTCTTGTTAGTGGGGTAACGCGAGCACGCTATATTATTATTTTTTTCTTATAGTGAACGTCCATGTGACATCATCGAAGAACAGGTGGATGACATCCGAAAAATTCCAAGAGTGGCCGTCACGGCTGTGGGGTCTGAGCACCGACGACGTTAGGTGGTTGTTGGTATCAGACCAAGCTCCTATGCACAAAACGCAGGCAGGAAAGAATGCCGTGGAAGAGTGAGATGCAGACATTGCATACGTGCCGACTGGATGCACAAGTCTATTGCAGCCAGCTGACGTGTACTGGAACCGGTCCTTCAAAGCCAGTCTTCGAAAGAGCTGGGAGGAATTCATGCGCATAACAGAAAGAGCGCATAGTATCATGCGCATAGCAGAACATAGCAGAAAAGAAATCTGCAGAAACTGTCGCATCAGGACGTACTGAATTTTGTGCTGTAGCATGGGATGCTGTACCACAGGTGACCATTGTTCAGAGTTTAAAGAGCTGCGGAATATCGAATGCACTGGCATTCTACACGGCCTTCTACACAGCCGGTTGTCCGACGATGGCGACATTCGTCCAAAACATTTCAAGGAACTGCAGGCTGAATGCTACATTCTGTTGTTTGACACCAACTCTGAAGGGTTCTTTGATGGATTTGAAAGGAAATAAGCAATCATCAAAAATTTCCAAATACAGCTTCTGTTCAATCTGTACATCGCTGTAAGAAGTCTTTATCATTTTTTAGAAGAAAAAAGTAACCGGTAGTCATGCTTGTTGTGACGACTTTTCACTCCATAATGTTTAAAGCACACGTCTGATACAAATGCTTTATGTGCACTATACAGTCGATTCCGGATATATTGAACTCAAAGGGGATCGCGAAATAGTTCGATATATTGATGATTCATAATACAAAATATGCATATTTAAGGCCTATAAAGCATTTTAGGCCTTGGAAAACGTTACAAGCACTAACGTAACTATTCGCTCACAGTATAATAAAGAAGAAGGTGTGAACTGTAAGTTATCGCACTTTATTTGACATGAAAATAGTCCGTAAACTTGTCTTGCTTCTTGCGCGCCGTCAAGTTGCAGTCATCATCAATATCATTGAAGCTTTTCAAATAAGTGAAGTCGGCTCCTTAGGCCATAACAGCATTGATTTACCCAAAATGCCGATGCAAGCTATGAAGTGCGGGAAAAGGTTGGTTAGCGACGGCGGCGTTGGCATCTTCATAACCACACGGTTACACTTCTGTGGCACCGGCAACGGCAGCCATGATTTCTGCATTGATGTAGTCTGAAACAGCTACATTATTATCTGCACCGATGAAGTCGTTCACTGTCTGAGACGATGCCCGCAAGGGCTGATAAGTCACAGAATTCACTGAGGCGCCGTACACCTTTGTCAGCGGTCGTGGCACACTGAAAGACGTCTCGTGGCCCGCAAGAAAAGTTTACGACAGTGCTTTACTTGACGTCGCTGCAAGCACCAGTCATCTTTATTGCTAGTATGTGCGGGTCAACGTTCTGTTCAACTCCTGAAGGAGGGTAGGAACGAGGCAAAAAGTAAACAAGGCGCAAAAGACAACGTCGAGTTCCCACCGACAACATGTTGACGATATCGAGGTCACTTGTTGCTTTGTAGCTGGCAGCTACTGCTTTCAGCACCTTTGATGTGGAAAGCTAGAAAAAGCATAGCCTCCAAGATATGCGTTTTAAGACTGGAAACACTGATAATGCATTACGTGGTGGCAAATCTTGAATGCCATGCTTTTCAGGCTCGCATGCCATTGTGTGCTAACAAACAAGGGAGGGAATTCGAACATTGCAACAAGATCGCAGAGCCACTTAGCATTTTCATTTTGGTGGCTCTTCAGCAATTGGTCTTTTAATTTAAAAAACACTATTCCCGCGCATTGAGACCTGTACATTGCGCATCAAACATACCGGTGCACTCGCAAGCACCGCGCAACGAACTAGATCAGTGCAATGGAAAAACCGTCTTTTTGTCACCAGCACATAAAAAAAGATCCAAACCTCATAGAATGCGGCTGAATATTGATCGATATTTCCTAGGAAAAATGCACTTCCTGGCCTTTAGAGCGTTGCAGCCTTCGGTATATGGTTGCACTGTTCCCATATTTTTGCATGAAAAATTCAAGGGGATTTTTAACTGTTTGATATAGCCAACAATTTCATGTATCCGAGTTTGATATATCCGGGATCAATTGAATTGGCACTTATTATTTTTTTCGATATAACTGTAGTTTTGGTTTATATATTCTCCTTTCAGAACCACCATATTGTGAAATCATTCGATTTCTGGGTAATGTGATAGTTTTTGGTTTGACATAGTCTGCACTCAGTAAAGGTAGCACTGCTGAATGTATCATTTTTTCTGGATATTTGTTGCGCAGCAAACTTTCTTTTTCCATTTCCTGATGTCTTGCTGTTAAAAATCATTTTGGTTTCGTTTGAATCCACTGCGAAATTTAAATTTGACATTAGTGCTCCTCTGGAAACACCACAATGCTGAGCTTTAGTTTAAGAAATGTTGCAGGCATTGGTTAACCTTTCGTTGAGCTTGCAAAGCAATGATGAGACTCTACATGTGCTTTTATTTATCCCACTGTAGTTTTGCTTACCAACTTCAGCTGTACATGGTGCATGTGATTCACCTCTAATACTTCTGAGTGTGTACATTTTGCTTGTGATCTCACGGGTTATGTCAAAATAAAGTGAAGTTAATGTCTAGTCGCGATATACATGACATATTACGAAACTTTAAGCTTCTTGTGAACTCTGTACACTTGTGAGATATTGAGTTCGTCGCTGTCCCTATTGAGGGAAAGTGCCTTTGTAGCATTGTACTGATTTGTCCTTGTGCTCTCCCTTGGTTTCAGCTGTGATGAGGACAATGGGGGCAATGTAATGGTTGCCCGACCAAGGTTACCACGGCACTCCTTCACCCAAGTCAAAAAAGCCATCTCAAGACCACCACCATCATCACTCAGTCGGTGAGAAAACACTTTTCTCTTTTGTTGTTGTTGTAATACTTAATTTCATTTTGAATAGCAGCTCATTGTATTACAGGCAGAGGTCACACACATGCACTCCTGCCAACTCTCCCGAATCGTCAGGGAGACTCCGGAATTTTGACCTGATCTCCCGATTTTATGAATGCTATCTCGAATCTCCCGAAAAGTGGCTGGCGCAGCAGAGGATTTTTCGTTTGTTTGTTTTTGATTACGCGTGTAAGTCAGCTTTTCCTGCTGCAACAGCTACTGTGCTTTGGAAGAATACTCGCCACTACACTTCTGTAGTTCATTGTAACCATACCATAGAGTACCACTAGGTATATTCTAGCACTACAGCACCGCGCATTTGGGCGAAGGTCGGCGGTAGCGAGACTTGGTTGCCGCCGTACCAAAAGAAGGCGAAGGAAGAGGTACCACAACTTCTGCATGTCTCTGTCTGTCTGCCTCCTTGCATTTTGTGTGCTAAGCCTACGCTGCCTGCCCAGGTGTCAGTTCTGTTTGTTACATTCATGGGAGGGGGGGGAGTATTTCCTTAAGTTCACTTAGAAGGGGGATGTCCGTGTCAAAAGCAAAGAAGTACTTGCTAGTGTTTTTGGGCTGGGACTGGGATTCTGTAATTTGTGACAGAAAAGTGGCACGTGTGGCTTTTGCACCATGTGCACCTGTGATGGAAGCGTTTTGCATGGCGGCCTGGCCGTCATAGAGGCGCACATCACTTCACAGAACCATCGAAACTACAGTCGAACACGGTTATATCGAACACACATTTATCGAATCTTCGAGTGTATCGAACTCTTATGTTATCCTCTTGAAAGTCCTTTGTAAAAGTATATAAATTTGCACGTTTATATCAAACGGCATTTTTATCCGCCTTCAGAGATATCAAACCCCGCGCGAGCTAGAAGGTGCGTTTCAGCACTTGCCCCCCCCTCCCCTCCCCTAACCCCCTCCTGCGATCTCCGCGTGCGGGCTGGAAGGCGCATTTTTGGCACTCGCGGCAGCGCCCAGTGACCTCTGTGCGGCACCACGCCTCTGCCAAAACCCAAAAAGGTAAGGGCGAGAGGGCTCGGACCAACATTGGCTCAGACTTCGCGATCTCCAACTTGCAGAACAGCTTTTTTTTTTTTTAATCTCTCTCATGCTTTCTCCGCGTACACCTCTGCTCGTAAAGCAGGAATGAAGGAGTCGACGTCCTCCTCCTTTCGCCTTTTTTTTGTTTTTTGTTGCTGTTTTGCGAGGTTTGATCAGCGAACCACAGCTCGTGCCTTTTGCTGTTGCCCTCGCAGAGCCTCGCGGGCGTATTGCTCTCGAGCTGTCGTGTCGTCTACGTACCACCGCATGCCTAATATTTCTCTCTTGCATGCATGGTGTGCAAAGCCGCTGCGGACTCCTTGAATTGTCGACTTCTCGTGTAGCTATGGCCAGCGTCGAGAAGTACCCTTGACTTTGCGACAAAGTTAGTCTATCCAGCGTGTTGAGACGGGCGAGAAATGTTCGACCGTTGCGGACGACTTCGGGATACTACGGAGCATTCTGAATACCTTGTTGAAAAACAAGGCAGATATCAAGGCAAAGGCGGCGAAGCAGCAAACGTCGGGAGCCTATCATGTGCGGGCTTCTGCCCACGGCAATGTAGAAAAACACTGCCTTGTTTTCAGAAGTGCGCGCGAAGGACATTACAGTGGATGGCCCGATGCCGATCACCAAGGCCAAATGGCTTGCCGCTGTACTCGGTGAAACAACTTCGCCAACAAGACCGAGTGACTTCACTGATTTAAGCAGTGCTACAACATCGTTTTCAAAACTATTTCTGGCGAAAATGAAGCTGTCGGCAGCTTCACTTTGTCAGATCTCCACAAAGTTTTCTCCCGTGGAGATTTTCAATGCTTGGCAAGACATGAAGACGGACACAATGGTCAACTGCTTCCACAAGGTAGGCTTCAAGACAGCAGGATGATGATGACGAGCGCATACACGACGCATTTCGCGAGTTGTGATAACATCCAGACTAGCGTCTTCAACATTTTAAAAACGAAGAAGCAGGCTGAGGTTAGCGATTTTTATTTATTTTCTTTTTACGTAAATAAGTAATTCTGTGGTGGCATGTGTGCGGAATTAGTTGTTGTTCTTCAATGCACCTATTGTAGGTGATGATCTGCTACAGTTAAGCTCTCTGGCCATTTATTTTTTAGATCGAATCTTTCATATATCGAGCTAATTCGCGATCCCCTTCGAGCTCGATATATCCGTGTTCAACTGTATGTTCAAGCTGCAGAAAGGCAGGACAACATCGCAAGTTTCCTCTAAGAAAAGTAGGATATGTGCAGAATGTCTATTCGCGGAATTTCTTGTGGAACACAACTTGCCGCTAAGTGTTATGGATCATGCAGGGCAGTTGCTTCAGACAATTTTTGCGAGGGGCGACGGTGCGAAGCGGTTCGGGTGCAAACGTACGAAAACAAACTGCCATCACCGAGAAAATGCCTACAGATGACAAAAACACTATGATGGAGGCTTTGAAACTTTGTGTTTTTGCAATCACAGTGGATGCAAGCAATGACAGTGTAAATGTCTCAGCCTCAGTTGGCTAAGGTACTCAGCTGCTGACTCGCTGATCGCGGGATTGAATCCCGGCTGTGGCAGCTGCATTTTTGAATGAGGCAAAAATGCTGTAGGCCTGTGTGCTCAGGTTTGGGTGCCTGTTAAAAAACTCCAGTTGGTCGAAATTTCCGGAGTCCTCCACAACGGCGCCTCTCATAATCATATGGTGGCTTTAGGATGTTAATCCCCACATATCAATCATTATATCCAGGATCAACTGTTATTTTCCTCCAACATCACTTCATTGTATTAGAAAAATATTTAATTTGCAAAATTTTGTTATTCGCTCATCTCTAATGCAGTTTAAGCGGCAATGTAAATGCGAGCTCAGTAGAAAATCGGCGTTTCCTGATAAAGGTACATGCAGGACAAATTTAGTTGAGGTACAAGTGCTTTCTTGTGTGCAAACAAGTGGGTGAATACTTGAAGATGAATAAATATCAATGTAATAAAATGTTTGATTTTGTGAGTTAAATACTTAGCTTGCCACATTGCAACTGGGAAACTGCTACAAAAGCACTTTATTAGGAGGGTGCATGTGTACAATTAACGAGGGGAATGAAGTGCTAAAAGAGCAAGATGGACTAGGGTGTACAAAAAATAGGTGCCTCTAGTCCACCCCTGTCTATGTCGTCCTCTTAGCGCTTCACCATCCGTACTAGTAATGCAGCACCACCAAGCCCAAACTACTAGTCTACTAAGCTGCATGTGTACTATTTGCAGGGTGCGTGCAGCTCTGGCCAAAGTTTCTCCTCCTCCAGCATGCGGTGACTTGCTAGGCAGCATCTTGGAGATGCAGTCTGTGTTCCATTCCAAGGGTGGCCTCACAGGTGCTATTGTGCAACGTGATGGTTCTCTGGACCTGCGTGCAGTGCCTTCGTCAGCGCGCAAGTGCCCCCGAAGTCCCCCTGGTTCACCTGCCGAATCTCCAGCTTCTCCTCCACCTTCAAGCATAGGTGGTCACTCAATGGGCTCGGCCAACCAGGCTCCCAGCCGACGTGCGTCGAGTGGTAGTAGCTACACTTCAAGCTGTGTTGGTGCTTCAGGGGACAACGGCGCAACACCTAGTCGGCATGATGATCATTCCCAACGGGAAGGTTGTGGTAGCTACCACCACTTGATGGTTCCCTCTCCATCAGATGCCTATGCTCGCAAGAATGGCCGGGACCGGACTAAGAATGGTCCAGTGGAGGAAGACGACGACATTGACATTTACAGTGACATTGATGATGGGGATGACAGTGGTGGTGGTGGTGATGGTGCGGGGGATAGCATGAATCATAATGGAGAAGATACAGAGCTTTCGGTAAATGGTGAAAGCCCAACAAGAGTGTCTGCCTCATTGTCCATTAGCAGAGAGAGCGTGTCGCGACATGTCCCAGCAGGCGTTGTGGATCATGACGAGGAAGCATCGTCGAGTGAAAATGAGCTGGTTATTGACGAGCAGGAAAATGCTGCTGATGCTGCAGAAGATGAAGAAGTTGCAGTTGATAACTTGAAAGCAGCTGAAGAGAGCGAGGAGGAAGGTCCCATCCTGGAAACGGACAATGTGAGGAGCCCATCCCCCGAGAACGATGAGGGCGCATCACAAGTGTCAGATGAAGAGGGTGGGCTGGAAATCGTCGAGGATGGAAACTCAAGTGATGGTGAACAGGGTGAAGATGAAAGTAATGGAGCCAAAGAAAATGATGATGGTGGTGATGAAGCAGGAGATGGCGATGAGGCGGAGGAGGGTGGGGTAGAGGAAGAGGGCGAAGAAAAACCAGAAGTGCAGCCTCAAGCTGAAGAGGAAGAAAGCTTACAGATGAACCCTCAAGAGGAAGAAACAGGTTCAGTGCCTGTAGAAGACACTCCAGCATCCCCTACCGAAGAGGAGTCTTCATTCATGCATGATGCGCCTGCGTCTCCCCCTGCTGAAGAAAGTCCATCATCTCCACTAGAAGCGACACCATCTCCTTCTACCCCTGTTGATGTGCCGGCATCGCCAACGGAAGATGTGATCCCTGGGGCATCACCTATTGAGAGTGGAGAGGACTCCTCGGCACCTGCCTCTCCTGAAGAAGTGCCAGCAGATGAGCAATCAGCAGAGGTTTCAAGAGAAGGTGAAGATGGGCAAGAAGATGACGAAAAGGGGATCACAGACATCAATGAAGGCGACGAAGAAGACACACAGGACAATGCATCTTCGCCAAAGGAAATTGAAAGTCCCGAGGCTGAACCGGAAGAAGAGGAGGGAGAAGAGCTGGAAGAGAGCAGTTTGGCAGCTGGTGGACCAAGTGACGACATCGCTTCCCCTGCACCAGAGGAGTCTAAAGAGGCAGATGATGGTGGTGTCCTCCTGGGCAACCTCCTTGATACTGAAGATATATCTTCTTCTTCTGAAGAAGAAGGCCTTCTTGAAGATACCAGTAATGGCATGGAGGATATATCGGAGCCTGGTAGCACAGATGGCTTGGTGGACAATCTTGAAGCTGTTGTCAGGGAGCAGGAGGAGCCTTGGCGACAAGAGTCAAAGGACAGTGAATGCCCAGTGCATAAGGAGCGGAAGACAAAGCACAAGAAAGAAACTTGTCATCATCGGAAGCACCGGCGTCACCGGCGGACAAACAGCAATAATGAGGACCGTGAAGAAGGTGAGATTGTTGAAGAAAGGTCTCCGTCATCTTCAAGCCGACGACGAAAGGAGGTAGAGACAACTGCTGATGACTTGGCTGAGTTGGCACCACGCATCAACATTTCAGAGTTGCCGCGTATACCCAAGCTCAAACGTAGTGAAAAAGTAGCAAGTCACACTGCTGACAGTGAATCAAGCATTGGAGGTGATAGCACAAGTGCAACTGCAGCATCGCATGTCGAAGTGAAGCGCACTAGTGTGTTGGGCCGGGTTGACTCAGGCAGTGATATCAGCTGGAAGAAGCTGTCAAAGCACTCACGGGAGCGTAGCTACCGAGACGGAAAGCAACGGGATGACACAGTGTTGTACAAAGAGCGTGAAATCAAGAAGCGTGAAAAAGAAAGTCGCACCGAGCGCTCTGATAATCCGACACGCAAGGACGCTGATGTGAGAGCAAGCTCTCCATCGCCACCACCGCCACCGAAAAAGAAGGAACGGCGCCCTGATCGAGAGCTGTATGTTCGCCCTGACAAGAAACGTGACTGGAATAAAAACGAAAAGAAGGAAAAGGAGAAGTCGTCATATAAAGAGAGCAAGTCATCATCTCACAAAGATCACAGGGACAAGTACAAGGAGAGAGACAAGCATAGCAGCAGTGGCAGCAGCAGCAAAGAACACACTCGGCACAGCAGCAAAGACCGACGACGGAGCAGCTCAAGAGAACGCCACGAGCACAGGCACAGCAGTCGCCACCGTAGAGACCACTCAGAAGAGCGCTCATCCGAGAAGTCCTCAAAGCACAAGGATTCACGTCGAACAGATGACCGAGAGTCAAGACGCTATGATGACAGGGACACTAGGGATTCAAGGGAAAAGCGTGATTCAAGGGATACTCGCAGCTCTAGGGAAACCAGGGATTCAAGGGATGATGGCAGCCGAGGAAGAGAGTCTAGAGATGCTAGAGATTCAAGAGATAGTAGGGAGTCTAGGGATGTGCGGGAGTCCAGAGAAAACAGGGAATCGAGAGATGCCGCAAGGGACAGCAGAGAATCGAGGGACAGTAGGGAATCAAAAGAGAGCAGAGAATCTAGGGAAAGCAGAGAAACGAGGGAGTCACGTGAAGTAACTAGGGAGCCACGACGGACTGAAGAAAAAATAAAGGTGGTTGTTGAGAAGGACTACTGGCGAGATAAGCATGAGCGGCAGAAAGAGAGGTCACCCAGTCCTGATTTAGAGGAGGCAGAGGAGCACACGCCCATCGAGTCTAAAGAAGTGATTGCCAAGGGTGACAGTATTATAATCAATGTAAATTTCAATCGCAGCAAAAAGGAAACAATGGTGGCAGCAACCCCATTAAAAGATCCTGATACACATTCAAAATCTAGCACAAGGGAATCGAGGTCACGGAAACGTGAGGCCTCTTCTCCCGCCACTCCGCAGTACGGAAGTGACAGTGACGTCAACGAGGGTTTGACCAAAAAGAGGCGCCGTCACCATCTGATTGGCCATGATGTCAGTAGAGATGACAGTGAAGCAAGTGAGCAGGACGAGCAAGAGGGTATGGAGAGGTCTCCAGTTTCTCCAGCGTATGACTTTGGTGATCAGGCATCGGCATCTTCATCATCGGGGAGTGACGGCTTTGCTGACAACAAGCCAAGCACACCCCCAGAAGTGCATCCGTCACCCGTATCACCTGCTACTGTGGACAAGTCGCCAGTATCATCACAAACAACTCCTCAAGCACCAGAGCCGCCGTCACCACCGCTGCCACAGCCGCCTTCGCCACCACTACCACAGCCGACTATGTCGAGTGGCTCTGCGAAGCAGCTGTCACCACGTTCGCCCCCATCACCGCCAGAAGACAACAGTTATGACCCATGTGAGCCAACCAAAAGCCCGAGCCCACCGCCACCACCGATGGTCGCATCTACAGTGGCTACCGAGAGTGATCCTCGGCCACCTCCCGAGCTCGAGCTGCCACCGCTTCCACCAGAACCAGAGCCACCAACACGTGCTGTCAAGGCAGCAGCAGTGTCCTTGCCTTTGACTCAGCCCGTTCCATCTATGACAGTTGCAGCACCTGTGAGTGGCCCTCCGGTGCTCCCAGCTATGGCGGGGCTACAGTTGCAACCACCGCCACCGTTCCTGCCAGCGCGGCCTCTGACTACTGTGATGGGCACTCTGGCAGGTGCCTGGGCTCCTGCTCCAACGCCCGTGATTCTTGGTCTTCGGGCGCCATTTGTGCCACCGGCCCTTGGCGCACTTCTGCCTCCGCCAATGGGCCTCTTGCCACTGAGGCCACCACCAGCACCTATGGTGCAGCTGACAGCCCCGCCCATTGTCACTGCACCTGCTGCTGCTGCTCCTCCACAAACTGTGAGCCTGCCCCCTGAACCAGCAGCTCGGGTGACAGAGCAGACAGGTGTCGTTGACATGGATGTTTCCACACCACCGCTGTATTCCCCCACGGACATTCCCGTTTCACCTCCGGAGCCTGCTGCTGTGCCTCTGCAACCAGCACCTGTTGCACAGAAAGGGTCATTTGACTCCCTTTTACCCGCGGACCGAAAAAGTGGCAAAGGCAGTTCCAAGTCCAAACGGCAACACTCCAGCAGTACTGGTGGTGCTTCACAGGATGCCAAACATGTTATACACTTTGTTGTTGACAAGGCCAAGGGTGGTTCGTCGGTTGTGACCCGGAGCCGGCCGGAGTCCAAGTTTAGTAGTCGTAGCATGGACGAAAGCCAGCTCCAGATCCTCGACGAACTGCCCAGCTCGGCTGTTGAGATGCAGGTCAAGGACAAGGTGAGTGCTGAGACAGGAAAAAATGCTTCTTTTCTGTCACATTTACCATTAGAAAGTTGGGGTCTTTGAGCCATAAGTTGTTTTTTCTGCATTCAGGGGTGCTGAAAGTTCTGCGCCATTCTGCATGTGAACAGCGATTTCTGTTATAATTATCCATTGGAAGTCTGACGTGCCAAATCTAGTGGAGTCTTATTGTCGACCGAGCAACACTGAGTGTTTGCTACAGGAAGAATGCGGCCGCATCCATATCCTGTGTGTTTTGGTCACATTGCCACAGTAACACAGTTCAGTTCACTCATGGTGCCTGCAAGTGCTGGTCTCAACACTGTCATTGCCGTGCTTTTTTTTTTTTTTTTGAAAGTCTGGTGATACTATGAGTAACTATGAATGGATACCTTACCGCCTTATGCAGACAGTTTGGAGCAGGTGTAGCAGTCTTCACCAGTCATTGACACATTGCATGTCTAATGATGAACAAATGTGTGTGGTTTTCTCTTGTGTGGTTCAAGCGAAGCGCAATTTAAAGGTACTGCACTCTTTATATGGTTGACTCTTGTTAATTCAAACTCAAAGGGACCTCTGAATTTTGTTGTTCAAAGTATCAAGAAGTTTGTATTATCAGAAGTTCTCAGATGAGATTACTCTAGCTGAGGTGACACCACACATTATGATAAGGCATTGATATTATCACATTCAAGAATTTTGGGTGGTTTTAAGCCCTAAATGCACACAGTAACAAGAAGCAGAGGTGTAAAGCCCACAAGCCTATTGGCCATTTACAGCTGATCAGACCTTTTAAAGAAATTGTGAATTGCCAACTGCTTCATTGCTATAGGTATGTGCCTTCAGTGCAATGCACTCTATACCAGTTGAGAAGCATCATGTGAGGTTTACCATGCGTGTATTTCCTTTCAAGCATTTGTTTATTTTGCAAAACCTTTTTTTCTTTAAGGCCTCAGGTGCTTACTTAAAATTTTTAGACTGTTAGTATTATATATGTGATGAAAGCAAACACATTTTTATACAGTAGTGGGAAAGCAGCAGATATTTTCTGTTGTGGATCTGAAAAAATATGAATTAACTGAATGATGGAGTTTGAATCAAGAGGCTTTTAAATACATTGGAAAAATAGAGGGCCAACCAAAACATTGGATTTTGTTCGATTTGACCGAAAGTATGAATTATCAGAGTTTGAATAATCCGAGTCTAGTGTAATGTGCGTATTTCTGTTGCGCCGTGGTCACATCTGATCATAGCCTGGACAGGTGGTTAGCATGTCTACTCTGCCACCTGCTGTGACGTATGGAGCAAATAAGTAGCTGCAGTAGCTGAATGAAACTCAGCTGTGTTCTATAGAAAAGCTTTTTCTGTTTCTCCGTTTAAAAAAAGGCACGATCCCACATGCCTTTTTATCAGAGCTCTGCGAATGGCAAGTATGAGGTGCGAAGCAAATTCTCATGTTTAAGGTCGAGTGCGAATAGAATAGAATATTTTTCAAACATTTCTGAAATAGTTTTCAAATACTTCCAAGCTAAATTATTCGAAAAGTTGTTGATGATTTGTGATTTTTATGAGGTAGAAACTTGAAAGTGTTCCTTTTCTCTATGTTACGAGGGTGCTGCCAAGTGGTGTACGTCTGTTGCGATATAGAGATACAATGCAGAGGCTAAATTGTATTTATTCATGCGGTTTGGTGAAACGGAGGGGGTGTCAACAATAATTAAAATGTCCTCTTAAGCTTTTTCGTTAAGGTACTGTAAGTTTCAATGTTGGCACTAAGCCTAAAATGTCCTTGTTAGTATTACTGCAGCTTTGTGTTTTAATATCTTTGGAGGCAGTGTTGCAGGCTGCTGCAACACTGCATTCGCTGACATTGAAGGCCAACTGAATTGGTGGACAAGGGCCCTTTCGAGTTTGGAGTTCCTCTTGCACTGCACCCCTCCTGCTCTATGGATGCGAGCAACGAGTGCACACTTTCGCAAACTGGGCCAAGTAGCGTTTTCACGTTAAAGTGTTGCAGGCTGCTGCAACACTGCATTCGCTGACATTGAAGGCCAACTGAATTGGTGGACAAGGGCCCTTTCGAGTTTGGAGTTCCTCTTGCACTGCACCCCTCCTGCTCTATGGATGCGAGCAACGAGTGCACACTTTCGCAAACTGGGCCAAGTAGCGTTTTCACGTTAAAATGTAGTGCAAGACATGGCCGTAAACAATACTTTTTGCATGGTAACTTGTACACATGGAGGTAGTGTGCTGTCTGTTGTACAAGAATGAACTTTGCCGATAGCTGTTGCATGGTGATGTGGGTGACGTAACGGGCAGTATTGGGCTCTTGGCACATGTTTGGATAACTTGATATTCCACCATTTCTAGAGCTATACCTATGAACTTTATATTGCTGGCTGACCTCGCAGTACCAAGGCATAATTTAAAAAATGCGTTTCACAAAGCAAGTTGATGAATTATGAAACCGAAATCATTTTTGCAGCATTAGCAGCACAGAGAGTCAGTAGCAGATGTAGTGACATCGCCACCACAAAGTATCTATGGAATCATTTTTAGAGTTTCTCCAACCTGGTTCGTTTTGTGCTCGGGTACGATCAGCCTGAGTGGGATTTTTTTCCAGGAAGATATAAATGGTGACGACCCTTCTTCATTATGAAGAATAATTTAAAGAGGTAATTTGCAGACCGAGAACAGGTACATACATTGCTTCTATTTTGCGTGCACAGAACATTCGTCCATGCGTAGTACAAACTAAGGGAAGGGGGTCTCCAACTGTGAGTCGACCAGAAAAAGTTTCTGTACCTCGATGACAGGCTTGCAGATGTTGCAAGTAGCTCCGTGTAGACAGAGCTCGCGGTCAAAGCACTGAAGAAAAAAAAGGGGAACTGCCAGAACATTAAATTTTTCTTTTTATGACTTGCTTTTTCTTTTTCTCTTCATGATGGATCGTTCATTAAAAAATTCCGATGTGAATCGAAAGTCTCACTGTTTAAATGTTTACACACCCTCACTTCATAAACAACATTAAGGATAGTAAAAGGAGGTTTCATTTTCCAGCCAGATAAATCATTATCATTCAGTAACTTGAATTATCTTTTTCGGTTTAATTGTCTCATCAGCAGGTCTCATTCTGTGCACGAATTATAGTGTCCCCTTTTTTCCGTGTTGCAGTTCCTGAAGAAGCTGAACAGGCAGGAACGCGTGGTGGACGAAGTAAAGCTAGCACTCAAGCCTTACTACAATCGCCGCGAAATCTCAAAGGAGGAGTACAAGGACATCCTTCGGAAATCTGTCCCGAAGGTAACGGTCTTTGATGATGACTTTTAATTGCAGTGTTTCTGCTATTTGTTCTAGCTCTGACCTTGCCATGGTGGTTCCATGGTTGTAACAGTCTGCTGCAGAACGCAAGGCTGGAAACTCTATTTCTTCCTGCAGTGGCTGCATTTGAGCAAGCGCAGCCCACAAAATCGGTGACGTAAATTGGGTAGGACCACTCGCAACCAAGCCTGCTAACTGCTTTAGAGCATTCGTCCCTGTGAATTCATTTGTATGTTCTGAGAGGATCTGCGAGAAAAAGTGATAGGACAAATAGGGACCAGGTGGCCAACACTGCACGCTAAGTAAGGCGCCGAACTTTTCTTTCTTAGTTTCAGTGCTGGCCAACAGGGGGGCACCTGCTCTAGTGCATGTGGAGAGTGTTCTAACATGTGGAGAGTGTATAACAGAACTTATGGCAGAGCAAGTGACCATAAAAATAACTGCACAATGCGTTGGCAGGTAACTCATGCTGAAACGTAATTTATTTAGATTTCATGAATCCAGATAAATTGTTCAAACTAACCAAATATCGAATTATTAACCCATTGGCTTCCGTGCTCTCCGTGGCCTTTTCCTGCCTGGTATTCTGCCGGAAAACTTTTTAGCCACTAGCGGCATGGGTTGGTGCACCTAAACGGCTATAAAATTCACAAAAACACCATAGAATAACAAACCTTGTTTTATTCCTTTAACAATGCCTGATTGCATCAGGTGCTTCAGTATGATTTTCGTGTGTGAAGCACAAGGGCATGTGAAGAGCTATTTCACATTTTTGATACTCCCATGGGCTCTCGGGACTGTTTGCCCTGCACCTCATAAACTAAGCAAAGTCTTGATGGATTCTGCTTGACTTTGTTTGCCAGGATGTGCTGAGGAAAATGAGCCCATTCGGCGGCTTGTAGGCGCATTGATGAGGCCACATCAGGCGGGTTTCTTCCGCGTTTTTCCTGCCACATCGTGTTTCGAAAAAGCCGGGATAGTGCACCCTTCGCTGCTAAAAAAAACACCCTTACAAATTGGTAAAAACATGGACAACTACGTTCATCTACAAAATAATTAACCAAGCAAAAGGCAAACACAAAATACTGTGCTGCCGTCTATGAAACAATGTCTAAAATAAACATTTTCTAGGCAGCCAGCGATTCGCCAGTAAAAGCGCTTTTGCCCTCGCCAATCCGGCTGGTAGAATGCCGGCCACGAAGCCAATGGGTTTATGGTATCAAGAAAGCAATAAACAAATGGCACTATATCTGATTTATGGAATGAATCTGCAAATTTGTTATATGAATAAGAATGGTGTGATAGATGTCACTATCATCATGTCATGACTTCCTTCAGCATGTGACTGTGGCACAAGACCCACGTCTTGATCCAAAACTGGCATCAAATTAACTGCATTTTACTGTACTGCTCACCGAGCTTATGCCACGACGCTCAATGTGCCGCTGAATTTGAGCCTGTAATGAACACTAACGTGAACTGTAGATTGTATTTAGGTTAATCTAAACATTTTCATGCCTAAAGCAAATATATGTGCTTGCAATGAATACTCAGTGCTGCAGTGAATTTATCTTCGTGTCATGTGTATCTTCGTTGTAATGTGGCTTGACTATTGCTTTCAGCTGAAGTGTTGTAGGCATATCATGTTGCTGCAAGTATATCTTGTTACAGACCAAAGTTAAGCTACCAAATTTACTCAAATCTAGGCGAAGCCCGGTTCTAAGCCAACCCCCTAAGGTATGAATCCCGGAGAAAAAGAAACAAGAAACTTATATCTCGAATGTAGGCCAGACAAAACAGCAAAGACAGCATTCACAAAAAGAAAACATTTATTGGATATGAGGATGAAACGGAGCAGTTGGTTCATCATCAAGATGCCACGCTTGTGCCGAGTTGTCGTCACTGATCTCTTTGTCGCTGTCGCAACAGTGCGCAATCCTTAGTGCCGTCAAGCGCATTTTATATGCCCCACTTCTTGAAAGAGCGCATGATCAAAGTCCCTGGGATGTCGTCCCACGCTACAACCACCCAGCCTGCCAACTGAGACAGCGATGCCCGCTTGATGCGGCCGGTCGGCGTCAGCTGGTGGTCCTCCTTGCTCAACCAGTCCATGTACAATCGCCGACCGATAAATCAGACACCGATAATTCGGACAGTCGCGCGGCACCGCCGATGGTCCAATAGAAGTAATGTGTAAAGACGACCGATATATCGGACAGCTGCCAGATCTGCATTCGATAATTCGGACCCTGCCCTACTGTCGCGCACGCCGTATCGGCAGCCATTATCTCCTCCGGCACTCAAACCATACAAAGTATGGCCTCAGAGATCAAAACGAAAGCTACATAATTGGTAACCTATGAGGCTTTATTTCGATCGCAACTTTATGCCTCAGAGATTTGTACTTAAAAATGTCCATCTTGGAGGCACGGCTTAACTGTGGGGGATCGTGTCGACATCGCGATCATCCCACATTCCGGTTCCTGTATACCCTCGCCACCCTCGCTGTGCGGCGATCGCCGCCGTTTTGTCACGTGTGTGCGGTACAGCGTTTTGCTGAATTCTGCGCGCGTTCATATTTATTTTGAGACTTGCTTTATTTTACGTCCAGCTGTCTCACAAGATCTGAAGTTAAATGGCACCAACGGTGCCCTCACTGCCAGCGCCGAAGGCCGCGCCGACGAAACGCCGCAGATATACAACGCTAACCATGGCAAAGAAAGCAGCCATCATTCAGCAAGTGCTCAGTGGTCGTCCGCAAGTCGAAGTTGCTCGAGCGTTCAACATTTCGAAGCAAGCCATATCGGACTACATGAAGAATAAGGACAAGATTTTAGGCGCGACGGAGACATCATCCGGAAGTGAACAAAAGAGGGTGCGCCAAGGTGTTCATCCGCAGTTGGAAGAAGCGTTGAGCATTTGGCTTAACGCTACCGTCGCTCAATGGGTTCCCGTTTCCGGCCACCTCTTGAAGCAAAAGGCCGAGACATTGGCACTTCGCCTTGGCATCGATGGATTTAAGTTCAACGATGGCTGGCTCCGGAACTTTAAAAAGCGGTACGACCTTGTTTTCAAAAAAATGTGCGGTGAGAGCAGTGCCGTGGATAGCACACTGGTAGCGAACTACCGCAGTGGAAAGTTGGTGGAGCTGCTTCAGCGCTACTCGGCTGACGACACCTTCAACCTCAATGAAACCGGGCTTTTCTATAAGCTACTACCGGAGAAGACACTCGCCCATTCTGGAGAACCTTGCCACGGAGGTAAACTCAGCAAGGAACAAGTCACTGTCGTTGTCGGCTGCAACGCTTCTGGCACAGAAAAGCTCCTGCTTCTGGTAATCGGGAAATCGAAAAACCCTCGGATGTTTTAAGGGGAAAAAAATCTGCCTGACTGGTACAAAGCCAATACGAAGGCGTGGGTCACGCAGAAGCTGTTCGCAGAGTATGTCGGAAAATTGGACCGAAAGTTTGAATTGCCAAAGCGCAAGGTCCTTTTGTTCGTAGATAACTGTACTGCCCATGCGCCGATCAGCTGTCTGAAAGCCATCGAGCTAGAATACCTGCCGCGGAATACGACTAGTATTCTGCAACCTATGGACCAAGGTATTATCAAGAATTTGAAGGTGCTGTATCGTTCACGCTTACTGCAGCGCTCTGCTTAGAGAGCCAGATAAAATACAACGTTGATTTGATGTCAGCCGTGAGCATGCTTGCTGATGCCTGGAAGGCAGTGTCGGCAGGCACGATCAGCAACTGTTTCCGGCACGCAGGATTTACATTGCGTAGTGAGCCCAACACCACCGACACTGCAGCCGAAGAACCCGACAATGCAACTGAAGAGCCGGACCTGCCGCCCAGCGCATCGAGCTCAGGTGCGGACGTTATTGACGACCTGTGAGGCTGTGGTGTGCCGATTCCCGACATTGTTACGTTTGAGGACTTTGCAAACGTCGACAGTGCAGTGTCGTCGTGTGCTGAATTGAATGACGACAACATAATTGAGCAGGTTCTGCGACCGTCAAACAGCGGTTCTGACTCTGACGATAATGACGCGCCGTGTGCTCCGGAGCCGTCGCATGTGGACCTGTCTCGAGCCCTCGCTGTTCTTTTGTCGTCGTACAGCGATCGTATCACACTGGCGGAGATACAGGCGGACTTGCGTGCACGTAAGCGGAAGTGCATGCAGCAACGCTATAACGACTTTTTTCGGCCACCGGTAGACTGAAGTGTCAATAAAAGTTTTTTTTTTTCTGACGCATTCGTTTTTTCGGACTTTCGATAATTCGGACTTATTTGCATTCCTCGTGGAGTCCGAATTATCGGTCGTCGACTGTATAATCCTCGCATGCAATTCTTGAACGGCTTGTCAATGCACACATCAAGGGGCTGCAGCTACCCCGTTATTCCACCCGGTATCATGGCGAGGTCAGTGTTCATTTTAGCCAGTGCAGCCTTGACGCTGTTGGTCAAGTGTCCACAGTAAGAGTCCAGCACAAGAAGAGAGTGGTTGCAAGAAGGGTGCCTGGACGTCGCTGCCACAAGATATTCAGCCATTTCTCGACCATGGCGCTGGTAATCCACCTGTTCTCGTTGGCCTGCACAATGATGTTTCGCAGGAAGGCCCCTTTGGCGAGCTGCGTCTTCCTCTTAAAAACGATATGAGGAAGGAGCATATGCCCATCCACTGTTCAGCACAGCATCAGAGTCGCGCGCTGCTTTTCACATCACGCAGAGTGCACATTCATTTTCTTGGCCCCTTTTTCAGAGATTGTGTAACCACCGGCACACTGGCGTTTGGTCCGCACTGCCGATTTGGCCTAGCAGATACGCTCTCGCTTCTCTCCTGCGAAGCATGAAAGGCTGGAACTCCAGCAACTTCTATTCCTAGTCAGCCGGTAACTATTGGGTGATTGAGGCGCAACGACGGAGGCTGAAGCCGGAGTGCTTCATGAATTTCTGCGACCAGCCTCGGCTGGCTTCGAAGCCTATCGTCGAAACACCTTGATTCCTTTGTAAGCCACCTCGCATTTGCCTTGAGCACTTCCGTTGGCACAGGAAGGGCAGCTGCTCGCTGCATCCAAACAAAGTCGGCCAATGCCGTTTCCATTTCAGGGTGACGTCCTTTCCGTGGACCGGTAAAAGCCATCCTCGTTGCGGCGTACACGATCAGCTTTTGCCATCGGCCCCTCCAGCGATGAGCATTCTTTTCATCGACTCCACGGCCCCGCTCAGCTTGAATGTTAGACGACTCTGTGGCCAGGACAACTTTCCTTTTATACTCTGCACTATATCGACATTGCCTGTTCAACGCGATTGAGCTACGCCACACACAGTCCACTCAAAGCGAGACTCGAACTGGCAAACAGCTCGCCTTAACTCTCGCCACAAAAATAAAAATGGCGGCCTCGCGTGCGTATTTAGGCCAGGTGTTCGCTTGGCTGCCAACGACTGCAATACCATCTCGGTGGTTCTAGTTGTGCACCACTTTGCTCGATTAAAAATCTCGCATTTTTCGAAATTCTCAAATCTAAGCCGATCCTGGAGTTTGAAACAAAGAAATTTGAAAAAACTATCAGCCTAGATTCAAATTATTATGGTAATTGGAGCAGCTGCTATATTTCAATGATGGAACTGAAATACATAATGTATTAGGATTAACCCGAAACAATTAGTGGTGTATGGGCAACCTGTGTGAAATTGTGTGGCATACGCAAGTATCCTCTCGTCCATGATAAACATACAAAAGCTAAGTACTATACCAGGCTAGGCAGTCGTAATACCAAAGTGTTTGTGCCACTGAATCGGTGCTGTACATTTTAAATTACTTATTGTGAGTACTTTGTTAGCATGGATAAAACGTTTGTATTTGTGTTGGTCCTGAAAAAGTGCTGCAGTTGTGTCGGTGGCCACAGTGGTTTTCGTTGCCTAATGCAGCGAGACCAGAAATTCAAAGTTCAAAGCAGTTTTCGCTACAGCAACATGGCTGTGTATTTGCTTCAAGCTTTAAATATGTGCTCCATTCGCAATGATGTTGAATCAACTGTTGAAGCAATAGCAGGAGTGCCTTCATTGACCTGTTGGTTGGCTGCGCTTCTAGTACAAGGCACCATGCTTGTTCTTCTTTTGCAATAACTTACTGAAATTTGTCTTCATCGATATTACTGTGTGTTTATAACAAATATGAGGTATAACAAAGGTATTCTTACTATTAATAGGATGAAACTATACAGGGTTTGACTGTGTGTTCTCTCAAACAATGTTCGGGTGTGCCGAGTCTTATCATTAAGAGAGACCTGATGGGAAAATATCAGTTGAATAAAAGGCCCTTTTTTGAAGCGCGTAACCATTCCTTATAACTAAAGGTGCAGCAGGAGCCTCAACTAAATGGCTTAGGCGGTGGTTAAGTCGCTAAGCTCTCTTCATTTGGCCACACAAACTTTTTTGTTGTTTAATACAGTATTGCATCAATGACCTTTCACATAAAATTTTGCTTGAGTCTTCAGAAGTGTAATATCAAGGCTAATCTGTGAAGTATTAAGTCACACATGAATACTTCTAGAGGCCCTGTTCTTGGAACGCAAGCTTCCTTCCTAAGGCGCCCTTAAGCCACCTGCATCGACTTCAGAAAGCCATCACAATCAATGCAATCAAACATGGCAGCGGGTGCCTCTTTCGAGCCTTTGTATTATGCTTCTGTCCGAGCCTTTTTGGCATCTGCAGTGTGCGTTCTCATGTCACTAGGCTCAATCTGCTGTTGTCAAGAGCAACAGACATTCTCAATTCGCCAATGAGAACCTGTTTGCTGGCAGCTATGCCTGCACTGCCTTTCCTTGTCTTGTTCGATGTTAGACCAGGGTGAGCATTTGTCGTGGACAAGACACAAGTAGACGAATGGAGTGTAGCCAAGGAAAGAGTGAATTGAGTGGGGCTGAATTTCCGTCATTAAAATAGTGTAGCTTCACTATTACGACACCATTTTGATAAATTCTTGCAGCTGCATGTTCCTTGTAGTCAATGCACTATTTCATTTCAGGACAACTAAATTTATAGTTCTTGATAGTTAACAACCCCTTTAATATGATTATTGCATAAAATTATTGATTAAAAAGTATGTGGAGCCTTGTGCTTTTAAATGAATATTAGCAGTACAGTATGCCCACCAGAAAGTCTTGAGCAAAGCTATAAGTGGTGCTCTGAGAATTTATGTAAGGACCAACTGCCTTGACTTTTTTTTTCTGTCGCAAACAACAGTAGTGACTTTTTTTTTCTGTCACAAACAGCAGTAGTGACAATGATCTTCTTTCTCAATGAAACAAAAATTGCAGATCTGCCATAACAAGAAGGGCGAGATCAACCCTATGAAAATCAAGGCATTTGTCGAGGGGTACGTCCGGAAGATCAAGCACTACCACAAGAGGCTGGGCAGCGAGCAGCGGTACAAAGCATCCTGAGCAACGAGTGACCGCCACCTGGCTCTCTCGTCATCACCCTGAAAGGAAATCTTCGCCTCGCGAAGTGGCCACTGGAGTCTTTGCCTGGCAGCAGCACCCATCCAAGTCATCGTCATCGCGTGGTGGGGGTCACTCGTCATCGCGCGTTCTGCCAGCTGCGTGTTGTACAAAGGACAGACTCCTTCCCTTATCCCGCGCCCCCTTCGTCCCACTACAATGCACCGTGAGCCCTCCCTTTGCCCACTGCCCCACCATCCGGCCCAGCCTCTCAGCCGAGACAGCTGCAACGACTGGTCCACGACAGAAGAAACCCACATTGTCACCACAGATCTTTCGGCTATGGCCGCATCTTTAATACGTCGTAAAAAAAAAAAGAGAGACAAGAGAGACCGTTGTGCGTGCTTTCAGCAGTACAATCTTGTGCATGTGTGTGAAACAGTACTCCGAATGGCGCGCAACTATTAGTAACTGCTGTGCACGCAGTCTCTCTTAACCGTGCCCAGACCTTGTGTAAATAGTGTGTGTGGATCATGCGATGAAATTAAAGACGACTAACACATTGGAAAACTGTTCGTTACTGTGGTCCCCTTTGCTCTCTCACCCCCCCCCCCCCTCCCTTTTTTTTTCCTTCCGGAAGATGCGTGCTTTCAGTGATTAAAGGCATTTCCATGCTCGTGTATTTTGCCAACATGTTAGCTTTCAATCGGGTAAGAGTGCAACAGTTTTTGAAAGCCAACTGCTGCTGAAACAAAGAGAATGCAAACAAATTCAAGTTTATGCTGTTTTAATAAGTTTCTCATCTCTGACTCCTGAGAAATCACTTCCCAAGTTTCATTATGCGTAGTAAGCCACAAAGAGGAAAGATGGGTGGGGAGTCCTCCTTGAAAGTCTTTGCAGTGGCTTGCTATAGCTTGGTATTTGAAGACGCCTGCTCGGGCACGTTTTATTATTAGTATTATTTACTTCCCCCTTCATTCTAAATGCATCAAAGGCTGAAGCCTGCAAGATTGAAGAACACGTAGCAGCTCATGTAACAAAAATCACTTCAGATGCTTTCATGTATCTGCATTGCAGTGTTTAGCAGAGCGCATTGGAATGGTCTGTTTTTATGAGGTTGCACAGGCAAGAAAGAACACCATCGGTAAGTTGAACACATCAGTGAATTGATGTGCTGAAAATCAAAAAGGTGCATGTCTCCATGGTGAATCTTTGGCTTGTGATGACATTTATTGTACTCTTCAATATAAACATGACGTCCACGTTGAGTGAGACAGCTAGTCTGCCGGCTAGCGCTCAGTTACCACGAGTATTACAATATTTGTACTCTAAGTCACACGAGCATTAAAAGGCTTATGTATCCTGAACAAATATCTGCCACCAAGGCTTTCAATCGAACTAAAATATTTGATGCTGTAATTCATAGACACAACCTCAATTTCATACAGAAACTAGTGTAAAATGATGAACTTACTGCATTTTTCACTGACTACCATGCCTTAGACATTCATAAACAGCCAGGCCTTAAACTGGCGTGCCAACAATGCCATTTGTCGCCAGCATATCTCACCTAGCTCAGCCCTCACTCCCCTCCCTAAAACCACTGCGACATGGGGCACCTGCAGCAGTGGTCCTAGGTGGGATATAGAACCTAAAAAGGAGCAATCTACTGTCCACTGACTTCTTTTCTCCAACCTTCTGCCATTTTTCTGCTTTCATTTGTGGTGACTGTGCGTCCACTGTTTCACTGTGTGTTCCCTCTATTTTCTTACAGTGCCCTCATTCATTAATGGCCTCCACTCAGGTGTAAGCAGCTCGGTTATTTTGATTATGTACTCTCTCCCCCATCGGCGCCTCGCTTGTATCTATTTGCTCAATTAAACATCCAATTACTACCACCCCCGCTTTCCTTCCCCCTATACATCTCTGGAAGGGCACTCATCCATTTACTTCCTCTAGCTGCTCGTGTGTGTTCGCGGTACTTGTATATTTTAAGTTTTATTTGCACTAACAAGTATTTACTTTCGTTATTGCATAATCTCCCCCTCCCTTGAAAAAAGAAACATACTCAAAATATGATGAGCAAAAAACTGGCGATGTTTTAGGTATGGACGGACAACTGGGTGATTATCTAAAAAAAAACGGGCCCAGCTGGTCTAACTCTGGCTAGGTGGCAACCCTACTTATGCTGGATAGTCCAGAAAACAGAAGAGAGACTTTTAGGAGCGAAGCTCTTTAGGGCGTGAGTCTGTCGCTCCTTCGTATGGAGTAGAATCTAGCCACCGGTGGCAGTACTCTCCCATCTCTCATCCCATCTCTCATCCCCTCTCTCATCCCCTGTGGCATGTACTAGCTCTAGAGCGGGTATGTGCCACAGAGGGTACGAGATGGCAGTACTTGGAGTGTTCACTAGATGGATGCACGGATGGACGGACAGACAGACTAGCAGGCGGACAGAAGCAAGAATGGACGGAGGCACTGACGGACGCTTCGCCCCACTCATCATCATTCACTCCATGGATATGCTGTGATTTTTTTTTTTTTGGTCTAGGCCACCAGTTGGCCTTAGTCCCACAATATTTGAAAGCGTTCAGCGACTTAACCATTGAGTGAATCCTTCTCATTAAAGAAATTCCAGCTGTACATCAACTGTTTTTGTGCGTGTGTGTATGGGCAATGCTTAAAAATGTATGTTTTCTCATTTGTTCTGGCACATTCTATACGTAATATAACTGCCAGATTATTCCAGCCTATGTGCTGGTTAAAGCTTCTTGCCTGTGGTAATAGTGTCTGCTAAATCACAGAGATCACTCAAGTGAGTGAAATATTTATGCAGATGACGTGGCATTTTTTGAAATTGCAGATAGCTTTACTGAAATTCTGTGCAGAATCTGGCCAAGGCTACAATGGTAGTTCAAGGAATGCTGGCTTTGTGAGGTAAAGTCTCGGTAGCCTTGTTGAACAAGGAAATGAAAGTGTGCATAAATCTCACAGCATGCATTGCTGAAAAGTTTTTTTTATTGTGGTGAACATTTTCCCACATAGCATACCATAATCCTTTGTGTGTGTGTATCTATATGTAAACTCGTACACAGGCTTGTAACAGTCCCACTTAAGTTGCATCCATGTTCATAAAAGCTATGGGTGCAAATGAATAGTGCGAGATTAGTTGTCTACCAGTTGATATAGAACCTTATTTTCATTTACTTGTTAGCAAAAGGCCCATGATTGTGGGAAAAAACAATTGTGATGCTTCTGTCAAGGTTTTAGTGGCAATCATCACTGCGACTGCACTAAATTCATAGTATCTTGTCACATTACTAACACTAATGCATTCGAAACTGTCTCTTTAAGCATGCAGCTCTGCAATTCTTTCCAGATACACGATCACCTTGACTAAAGCAGCCATGCTTAAACATAAGCATGTCGTAGGAAACTCATAATTTCTTGGGTTCAATGATGTCTAAGAACTACAATACAATTGTGGAAGGCTCCAGAAACTTGAACCACCAGGGATTCTTTCATGCGCAGCTAAATTATAGTAAACAGGCCTCAAACATTTTTGCCTTCATCAAAAAATGCAGCCATGGCAGGTGGGATTCGATCCTGCGACTTTCAGGTCAGCAAGTCAAGCACCACAACCACTTCGCCAATGTGGCGAGTCGCAACTAAATTTTATAGATGGGTGTAGTTTGCACCTATGTACTGCATCTGCCGATTGTTGCGGATGTGCGATACAGTTATGCCAGTCGTATTTCCACGTACTACTCGCCCCAACTGTTTGCCCTTGCTTACGTACGTTGCACCTTTGCCAAAGGTAGTGATTACAGGAGGGAAGGTGTGTCAAGCGTTATGTAACATTGACTGGTGTAATGAAAGTAGAATTTGGTTACATGACATGTTGATTTCACAAAGTGTTGAATATGTTAAATAAGTTCCTGCATTTCACGGTCGTCAATGGATTAGTCTAGCAGTGCGACGTATGCCAGACTTACCCTTTGCAAAAGTGCACTCATGGAGAACGGTTACAGCTTGTACATAATGACTTCAAACTTTATTTGTTCAACAAAGCAATCAACAACAAGCAGAGTGATAAGGGCTTTCAGTCGGCAGATTGCTTGCATGCACTGCAGTTGCTGCAACACAATGTAGCTACAATGCCTTTACCTTTTCAATTTCATCGGTTTCACATGGAAGATGTGGTGAAAGCTGTTGCTTTATTGACCACAAAACCCAAGGAAAAAGACTTAACGAGCAGTGGCTCTCTTTGCCACACAACCACACCAGAAACACAAACCAACCAACACTGCTTCCTGAGAAGAGCTCTTACAACGGTGACGGAGAGTTTTTTTTTTTTTTTTTTTTTTTTCGCGCACGAGTGACTATGATTAGAGTTCCACGTGTAAATAGGCTGGTAGTACCTCTCGCTGACTCGAAAATGGTGCCAAGTGGAATCACGGTTAAGAACGACGAAATGAGCAATGTTGAAGCGATGGTTGCTGTTTCAGTCGGCGTGTCCCGACGGCGAATGCGAGCTGCTGGCTTCTTCGCAGGGACCAATATTGTTTTCTTGAGCTTTGCGGTCGGCTCGGTCCTCAGGTTGATCGGTATCAGAGCGATTCTGGTCTGGGCCCACTCGACGCTCCCTGGACGACGATCGTGAGCTGAGGCGCTTTGCCGGTGAACGCGGCGACTTCGAGCGGCTCCGACGATTGTTGCTAACTCGGCGTGGCGACCTGGAGCCCGAGCGGCTGCTGCTCGGGCGTCTCGACGAAGAACGCGAACGACGGCGCGCAGAGGCACGTTCGGAGCCGGACGAAGACCTGCGGCGACCCGAGGACTGGCGCGGTCTCGAGTTGGACCTTGAGCGTCGCGGCGACCTCGAGCGCGAGCTGGATCGGCTAGAGCGGCGTTGCAGGCGTTTGGTCTCCACAAGACGGATCCTCCGTCCGTCCAAGCTCACGTTGTCGAGACTTCTCAAAGCGTTCTTCATGTCTGAATAACTGGCAAACTCAACGACTCCCTGGTGGCGTCGCAGCTTGTGCGCGTCCGTGTACGTCACGTCGCCCGCCTGGCGCATGAAGTCTTTCAAGTCCTGCCAACTCACACTGCTGCTCAAGTTCTCCACAAGCAGCTGGTAGTTTGTGCGAGTCGGAGGCCCGAAGCGCCGCGAACCGCGATCGTAGTCCGGAGGCCCGCGCCGCATGCCCCTCGCCAGCTCGACCGTGACTCGTTCGCCCATGAGCCGCTTGCCGTTCAGATCGCGCACGGCGTCCTCTGCGTCGCGGTAGTCGGTGATATCCACGAACCCGAAGCCATTTTTGAGAACGATGTCTTCGATGCGACCGTAGCCTCGAAAAAAGCGCTCCAAGTCACGTTCGCGAACGTCGTAGTTAAGCCGGCCTACGAACACCCGTGTCGCCATGGTTTCGCCTCAGTCACTGCAATCACCGATACCGTAAACACGCGAAATGAGAGGCCGCCAGCGACCGCAACTCTCCGATGCTTTCAGCGCACGAGGACCGCACTCAGACGCTGCTCCAGGTAGGTGTTAATCAGTGTTTGAAACATGGAACCTGGGTAGAACGGTTCGTGGCTCGACTACAGCCCAGCTGTAGGGCGATACGAGTCCAGAAACTCACGTGACGCGTCGCACCGCCCGGCACCGTCGGTTCCACCAAATGGCGATCGGCTGCTGCACGGAGGCCCGCCGTGCAGTGAGGGCACTTCTCTATGGGCGTTGGCGTAGGTCACTATCCCGCATCATCCTTCGTTGCAGCTGACGTTCTCAGCAATCCCAAAGCCGCCGAAACCATGCAACGAATACGCTCCCTGCAATCTGATTACGAAGAAGACGAAAGCGACGAAGCTTGCTGGCTCGCGCTGCTGGGGTGATACAAAAAGCAAAACAGTTGTGAAAGCGCCGAAAGAACAACTTTTGCAGTAAACTCCCGCTAGAGGTGCTGCTGTACTTCACTTATTGAATATCTCTGCTCTGAAAGCTGCAGTCGTATGCTGTAGTGTTGATTATTGCTGCTTCTATAAGCCACATGAGTATTGTTTGGTTGTACGTGACTATAAAATGAGTAGACAGCTGCTTTCTGCACAAATTAGATGTGTTTGTTCCGTGCTTGGCGGTGCGTCTTAATTGTTCGCGAGCTTCCAGCATATGTTATCGGCTATTATGCGGTTGAGGGAAAGGAAAATTCGATTAAATAAATACATAAGTTCATTATTGCTATTATCATTAGTGCTATTATTATTTGTAGCATTTATATCATGATTGCTTATTTTCTGCACCTATATGTGCGACGTCCATCCATCGCTTGCCGTGGAATCGCACGCTGACGCACCTACCATTCTCTTGTAAAAGACAGTCTCGCTATTTGGTTTCTGCTCAAGGTGCAAGTACTTTTTGTGGACAAGTATAAGCACTGTGTAAAGGTTCGTCGCCACTGTTAATATTATTTTGTTTGGTTGAGAATAAGCGATGTCCCGATACCAAACGAAATTTATCAGAATGTTCAAGTTTCCGAAATGGAACGAGCACACAATTGTGGTTCTGTGTTATGACTGGGCACGGACGGACGGACGGATGGGAGTATAAAACATTAAAGGCTTTCGCCTTATAGTCATATGCCTAGCATGTAAGACTACTCACGACCATGACAGCAATTGTGGAGGCGTTGATCGACCGTTGTCTTAACTGCGAATTCCCACTGCAGTTTTACTAATGCCCACATCATAACTTTACGCGAGGCTCAATTGAGTGAATTCAGCTTATTTTGTTCTTGTTGTATCATCGTGCATTTTAATTTACGCTACCACGCACTGTCAGTTATATTCATGATCTCCCAGGTGCACGAGCGCTGCTATTTGGGCAGCTGCTCTTTGCACCGTTTTGCTGCTATAAAGCCAGTAAAACGAATTAAAAAGTTGTAAGTCTCATGTAGTACTGCATAATTAACTCTAAAATGTGTTCCAGTGGTTGTGCACCAACAGAGAGCGGGAAGTTACACAGCGTAGCAAATGTTTCCCACACTCCGCTCGCTAACCAAGCGCTGTCACATACCTGTTCGGAACAAAGGCATCACGGCGGGGCAGTTCACCGCAAGGTCCTCACCAGAAGCCGGTGTTTTGCATCTTTTATTCACTCTTTTGTTGCTGTATGACGAGGTACGCTGGGGCTGTATGAGAGGCCAGCGCTGGATAGGTGGCACTAATAAAGAGCACCTGACGGAGAGTCGCGACACAACTCAGCTGCTCGCGCCCAAATGACTTGCCGCAGTGTTCCACTCTGAGAGCACTCACGCGCGCCACTGCCCTGCTTCATTTTGGAACAAAGGGCTCGAAAAGTCATTGAGGCAGTAATACTGCACTGTGGTTTAGAAAAATACCTTTTTTCTGAAGGCTATTCTCACATAATAAGCACTAAAAACGGAGAGAAGTCCTGTGAAGTGGACTGCGTATACGCATATTGTCGCGACGTGAAGACAGAGGTCGTATTTGAAGACGCCGAGAAAGCAGCAGCGGGTCGGTCTTTTTATTTATCGCGCAGCCAGAGAGTTCCTCGTCTTTCTCGTTGTTGCGTTCTGCATAAAAGCGTGCAAATGCGCGTATGCACTGTCACCTTCGTCTTTCTCGTGGTACTCACGTGCCAACATAGTGTCGAAGGGACGCTGCTGTGCCGTGATGGAAGCGCCCTCATCCTCATTTTCTGGTTGCGTGCTGGGTTTTGGGTAAATGCTAATACTCACTGACATGCCCTCCCGTGCTGCGACGATACCACGCTGCCAACATCTGCAGTAAAACAAGACAACGGCAGCGCAAGCGGTATACCTGCGTCAATTTTTTTTCTGGCATCGTTTGTCCGACCTGTCCGTGGCATTAATACACAGGGAAGTTAATCAAGCAAACCACCGAGGCAGCATAGCACGTGTGGCGTCACGTTGCTATTCTTGAAGGCGCGGGATAGCTTAGCGAACATAGTGGCTGCACTTCGATGGTGGTAAAATGTAAAAAGAACAACCGTGAACCACGATATATGTGCGCATTGGAGAACCCCAAGCGGTAACAATAACGATGCGCACACTATAGCGTGCCTCAAAATTACATCTTGTTTGCCACATGAAAACCTAGCAATTATTGATGCTGAACAGACACCTTCATTTTAGGCAGACCCTGGCAAGCGGAAAAACTGAAACTGTGTGTTAGGCGAACTAAAGAAAGAGTAAAAATCGAAGACATTTGAAACTTCTCTAACAAGGTATAAATTTTGATGTTACTTAGCCACGGCAGCCAGTGATGAAAAAAAATGGCTCCGTATCTGCATGTTACACCGCAAATGTCGTCGAAAGACAATAGTCTTGCGTCTGGAGAGAGTGAACAAAACGTTTATTTGAAGTTCTGCGCGAGAAAATCGTTGAATGGTATTCTGAGGCACTGCGTTAGAGTGCCTCGAGCGTGCAGCGGAGGCGAACGAGCGCATCAAATCACTTCACACGTGAGACATGAGCGCTATCTGGCAGTTATCCTGGAAAATGGGGCGCGTGCCGTGCGCGCCCCTCTCGGAGGTGATAAGGCGTAGAACGCAAGGCGACGGGTAAATGCCGCCACCATGTCGTCTTAAGAAAGCGTTGAAAACGCTAGCCGTTTCGTGCAAGCGTTGCATGGCCAGCGCCGCGTTATAAAGGCTATGATCTTTAAATTACCTATGTATGCCTTTTCTAGTTAAAAATACACCTACATATTATTGACGTGTTATTATAGTGCCTCAGATATGCGTAATAATTGCTTTTTAATTGAACATCGCACAAGTATGAAGGCTATACCTTGAGCAATATTGGTGGGCGCTGCGGATGGGGTTGGCCGTTCGGAGTATCGTTTGGGCACTTTGGTGCCGTTTAGGGTACCGTTAAGGGTGTACAAACAGATAAATGTACAGATAGACAGCCCAAAATTTTTGCGTCGAAGGTCCCCAAGAAAGACTATCGTCTTTAAAACACTTACCGCATCGGCTGATTCAGAAAGGTAAGCTTATAGCAAGAACCCTGTCTTGTGCACAAATTAAGTTAAACAGAAGCATCTCAGCATAGAATGTTCCCTGCGAGAGTATATTTTATAACAGCGGCGTAGGTGTACGTGGCCCAACACAAGTCTTGTGGACAAGGCAGCTTTTCTTTACATGCAGCTGTTTACAAAAAAATATATATATATGCCTATCGTATCATTCACTTCACGCGATGGCATCATATGGAGTTTGGTGGTCGTGGTCAAATGGATGGACGCATGGAAACTTTGTTAGTCCTCAATGCACGACTCAACACTCAGCGGGCCAGATAGAAGAAATTACATATGCTGCATGTTGCATAATACAGTAATTTTATTTTCGGCAAAACACCGTTTAAACTCGACTCTTTGGCCCTGGTTATCACTGGTGGCTATCATCACTATCAAATAAATATAGCAGACACGCGCCATTCGGTTCAGAAACGAACTCGACAGCAGTAGACAAGAGAGCGAGAGAAGAATTTTGCTCGCCTGACCACTTGGATGCAGCGCAGCCTCCTCTTTCTACGTCCTTCCCTTCCTCTATACGTCTTCCCTCTTATTATATATCGTTGCACTTGAATACAGCAGCAGTACCAGCAGCGCCCTTTAGTTTCGTTACTGCGATGCGCGCACCCACCACCTCTACCAGCCGCCACTCTCGTCTGCGGAAGCAGCTGAGAAGTGCGCGCTGTCACCGCCAGGGTGGTCGTGGAAACTCCAGCAGCTGGTTCCCTATACACCAGAACACGGTGAGCTCCACGGAGGAAGGAAAAATATAGGAGATTCCATGACGTCATATTCGTGAAGGCCGCCGCATCGCAAACACCCGAACTACCTTCTAGCGGGAAAGCAGATAAACACTTCGCGATTTCTGGCGAGGAACCGCCACAGCGGCCTTCGAAGTGGTGCCAGCTGAGTGGTAGATGTTCTCTGCCGGCAGCGAGGCAATGCACGAGTGCTGCTTCTCTTGCGTGTTTTAGGAAAGCTGTGTGATGCCCAGCTGTAGTGCATACTCGGTGGGAATTGCGTGCACCGCTAGATGTACCTGGTGGCACTTTTCGCGTATATTCGCTGCACTCTTGATCAATAATGTATGGTATTTGCATGCGCAGCTCTCAGCTGTACGCTACGTTGGTTCTTACTCATTGCGTCAACTGAGCTGGAACACACTCGAACTTTCGCTTTTAGTGTTTTAGGCATCATGTCATGTTTTTAGTTGTGTTGTTCATACGGGGCCATAAACTTTTCTTGTTATCGGACTGAATGTGTATGCATTGTACGGTGTGCGCTCGCAGCGTGTTGTGTGCGCGCGCCCTGAAATTACACACTTTACGTGCATGATCGCGTATACAATACACTGGTGCCTTCTTACCGACGTGAAGTACGTCAAGTACCAGGCTGGCGTTGCACGGAACAGCTGCGATGCAAGCTCTCAAATTGAGCATTGTCACGCTGACTATATGCGAGCAAAGAACTGCTAATCGGCCCGAAGATAGAGAAATCTGGCTAAGATGAAAAAAAAAAGGCCTTATGGCGAGTAGGACGCGTAAGTCACTGCCGAGTGAGTTCGAGTACGATGATGCAGGCGCTGAATGATTTCGATTACGACATGTAACGGTGATTTTTGTGCAGTTGCACAAAAACACTCCACGAAGTATTTCAGCACGCCGCGCTCGCGCCTGCCACGTACGAACAGTTTCGGAAAGGTGTGCTCGCAACATTTTACAGCATGCGAACCATACAATACGCGTGAAGTTTATGTCGGGGCCATAAGTCCGCGCAGAAGCAAACCAGCGCTGAGAGCATGCCGCGGAGCGTGTGCTGTTTTGTTTGCCACATACCGGTTTGTTTGCCCCATAAATTTGACGTCACTTCCGCCACACTTCTCGCAATGCATTGGTATAGGATAGGACCTCTCATCAGTTTTTCCTTCCTCCATGGTGAGCTCAGTGCTTGCTGCCATATTAAAAAGCGCGTGGCGCCATCTGTTGCAAGCACGGCATGTCTGCAGCACGTGCATTGCAGACTGCGGAAGCAACTTCATCAGGTGCGCATTATCCGACTGAAACAAACGCGAACAGCGTCAACTGCGGCGTGCCTTGGCTGTGACAAGGTAGAATTTGTGCTGTAAGCCAGCGTCAACGTGGCGCCAGAATCTGGCTCCAAGTTTCGTTCATGCACTGCATGTGTATCAATTGCCAGTCCTGCCGGGCACACGGAACACACACGTGGTGCGAAATTGCCAGCCATAACAAGATTTTAAAATGCTATGGTGACGCCGGCCGAAAGCGCATGTATATTTGCCTAGCGACAGTCAAGGTATATCGCAGTTGGACCGAGTCGAAAGCCAAGTTACGTTCATGCACTGCATGTGTATCAATTGCCAGTCCTGCCGGGCACACGGAACACACGCGCGGTGCGAAATTGCCAGCCATAACAAGATTTTAAAATGCTACGGTGACGCCGGCCGAAAGCACATGTATATTCGCCTAGCGACAGTCAAGGTATATCGCAGTTGTACCGAAACGAAAGCCATCCTTTCCGCGGCGTTCCCATGTCTTTTCATCGCGATCGTAGGCCGTTACAGTTGTACTATACATGCGCGGCGCGTGCATCCACGCGTGAGTCGTACTAATTACCGTATATCCCATTATTGACATGGGGCCTGCGAAAGAGAACGGCAATAGTTTTGTGCCACATGCTATAGGCATACTGTACGCAAATCGCTGCTGTGAAATGGAACAGCTGGAGTCGTGCCTGAATAAACGCAATAAGTATACTTACGCGTACGCTTCATTGGGCTCGTAGTTTTTCCTGCTGATTGCAATTATATCCTATAGTGTGGCTAAGCTCAGGGTTTTTTTATGTGAACAGAAATATGTGCAATCACAAAACACCGCACCGGCACGATTCCCGCGATGCGCCATGAACTTCACAGGCAGTGCTCAGCAATCTCTTCCTCTTGCGCTGGTTGTTGTCGCATCAGATGACAGCGCAGTGGTACCCAGATGACATTTTATAAGCGGGCGCAGCGTGAACAGGCGCTTTCTCGCATTTTAAACTCCCAGAGCCACCGCATGCCATGCTGGCGAGGTGTGCCTTGGCAGTTACAAACAAATTATGGCGTCTCTGGGAGCGAGGGTTTACTGCCAAAGGCACCTGGGTGCGCGATAGGCGTGCTCTCGTCTATAGCAAGTTTATTGTGCTAAACACTTCGCTAATTTTGCACAACAATGTGCACGATTCGTCAAAAATTTTGTTGATTTTTGTTTGCGTCTGCACAGCATCTCGGAATCGGTGGCCTTTCGCTGGTAGACCTGCTTGGAGGCTTGCATTCGCACCTTTCTTGGAGGTATCGGGGACCATGGTGGTATGTAAGCTTGTGACGCCAGATGTCACTAAGTCTGCTCATATCTTCACAATTGGGCGCCAAACGCAGGGGTTTGACGCTGAGGCTAGCCCGAGAACCCCTCAAGGAATTAAGAAGCGGAGGCCGAAAGAAACCATGTTTACTGATCGGAATCCGGGCCACGACGGCCCGCTGCTATAGCAGCTGCAGTGTGCCACGAGGGCACCCGCGACCGTCATTGTCGTCTTCTTTCTAATGTCGGTGTGCTCGCGGCCACCGCTCCCATAAGCTACAGTATAGCTTAACAGTATAACATAACATTTCGCGTGGCTCGTATAGCTTAACTTGTATAGCTTAACAGTATAACATATCATGTCGCATACCCCGTATGCCCCGCCGTGGTGGTCTAGGGGCTAAGGTAGTCGGCACGCTGACCCGCAGGTCGCGAAATCGAATCACGGCTGCGTTGGCTGCATTTCCGATGGAGGCGGAAATGTTGTAGGCCCGTGTGCTCAGATTTGGGTGCACGCTAAAGAACCCCAGGTGGTCGAAATTTCCGGAGCCCTCCACTACGGCGTCTCTCATAATCATATGGTGGTTTTGGGACGTTAAACCCCACATATCAATCAATCGCTTGCCTCGTATAGCTTAACATGTATAGCTTAACAGTATAACATAACATGTCACGTGCCTCGTCAACGTCCCCGCGCATGCGCACACTACCTACCCGGAAAAGACCTAGTACGGCGATTTCAAGTTTGACCAATGTGGACGAAGCCGCCGAAATGAAACGAAACGATGTCGAATTCGGGGTTCCGTTTGCATTGAGAATCGATTGTGTCGTGTTCAGATGCTGGCTGTTTTTTTTTCTACGTAGCAAAAAAAAAAAAAAACACGTTGAATTCGTAATGCTGATGCTACGCTTCTGTACTGAAACACATGCTCACAGATGTGTGCATAGACGTGGAGAAGTTATTATATGTATTAAATGTCAGATATTGTGTTTTCTGGGTAGATAAGAGCTCCAAGAAGTGATTATCGAATTTTCTGCATTCTCTGAGTGTAAAGTAATGATGATAAAGTTTCCATGGCGGAAGTTGGAAACATTGACGGAGAAGCGATTTTCTACGTTAAGCAAGTCTAGCAAGTCTCGCTGACCAAAAATAAATGAAAAAAATAATGGCAAAGAAATAGCTATGAGTGCATTGACACAGTGATAAAAAAAGCTGTGCGGCAATATCACCTTTCAATTCTCAGCGCACCTATGCAAAACACGCTTGTTTTAAATTGCTTTCCAACGTTGTCTTTTTTTTTTACTTTGTTACTGTGCTTTACAACAGATTGATGCTTTTTCCCCCCACTAGCAACGCAGCATAGCAGCAGTTATGTAACCACATAGAATGTCCGTTTTACAACTGCATAGAAGTAATGTTGGCAAACGACAAGTATTCTAGATAGCTTGCGAGGAACGTTGTGGAAGTTGCAGCTATAAAATCAACCCACGCAGAAGATGGGTAAAATCTCACTTGCAGAAGTCTTGATCCCGTAGTGAAGTTCATTAGAATAATGATGATGCTCAATGAGAAACTACGGAGATCCACCACTGACTGCATATTTCATGGCTATACGATAAGAAAAAATTTGAGGCATTGATCAGGCGTGCCATTTGAAGTTCGACATTCGGCTTTCTTTACTGAGCTGGCACTCCAACGACGACGTAAATTGCCGTTAGTCGACCTACATTGGTTTGATCGTCGTCCACACCTTTCACACATTTCCCCGATGTCCTGGGTCACTGCGGTGCCTGGCCGCAGTGTCCTGCAGAAAACTAGTGTCATTGGGCGTATGTTCAAAATTACTGACAGAAGGCGGCAGCAAGACCGACGACGTTGGAATCATGAACTTATCATGTAACTTGCAACAAGCAGAGCCACGACCGTTTGTGGCAGACAATGCGCGTGCTTGCACTTCAGAGATTGAGCACTCAATGTAGGCATTGGGTTAGTTAAAATGATGCCAGTCTTGTCTGATGCCAGTACCACTAATTAAGAGACTGAGTACAGAGGAGGTTGGCACCATAGGAAGTGTAACTGTGTCATGCAGGTGCGATAGCCAGGAAGCTTTTTGGTGTGGAAGGATTGGGGGGGGGGGGGAGGTCTACCAAACGTTTTGTTTATATTTATACCTTCATTTGTATGCGTTGTACATACGCAAGCAAAATTAACACATATTTTTTTTTTGGGGGGGGGGGAGGTTAAACCCCCTAATCTCTCCCCCTCGCCTACGCCCCTGGTCTCATGCCATCTTCCACTTGTTTTATTTTTTCTCGATACAGGTGGGTTACGGCACAGGTCCAAGCCATCGGGATTGCCTAAATTGTTTATCTTGTAATTATGTGAATAATGGTGGATTCTGTTGTAAAGAACCCTGACGCCGAAGGTCATGTACAGTTGCAGCACTGCTATGAAGTAGGGGACGCTCAAAACTCTGGCGTAGCGGTGAGTTGCGATACGCGACCTTATAATAGGGAGATTTAGAATAGCGCACCTCGAACCCTTGCGGTGCGGCCACTGCCACTGCGCATGCGTCGTACGCGAGCCGCCGTTCGGGTTAGCGGCCAGCCCGCAGAAAATCCGAAATAGCGGGTGGCGTCTGCGGCCCTCATGCGTTCCACGAACGCTGGTGTTGAGGTTATGTGTAGTTTCCGTGCATTTGAGTTTTCGGGGTAGCTAAAGTCTCTAGATTGTTCCCTATAGGAGGGGAAAACGTAAATCTAAAACTGATATGGTGCCCGCAGAGCCTGCAAACGTTATTCTAAAACTCCCTAATATTTACATACTTCAAACATCAGCCTTTAGTTAGTCCGTTATTGGTCGATGATCTGCGTCAGCGGTGATCCTCGTTTCAGGGCGCACTGAAAACGGCGGATATGTATAACTAAAGAAAAAGAAGCTCCAAGGGCACGCGCCAAGAGGCGCGTTATGAAAAGAAAAAGAAGAAATTGGCAAGACGCCTGCATCGGAGTCGTCATTTTTTCGCTTTGAACATCCTGCCCGTTCACTTCTCGCCGTAGATCTCGACGCGGTAAGTTGCGATGGACGAAAGCGCCATATCCAAGGATCTGGCTTCGGTGTTCAGGTGAGACCCGCCGAATATCATACTGTAACTACGGTAAAGTTTATTCAAATGTGTGTTTCGTAGAACACTTCCACACGCTTCTGTCCTCGTCCAGATGATTGAAGTGGGTGAAGAACTACAAAAATTACGGCAATAATTACCTCAAGAAAAGCACTAACGTGCGTATATTTGAAAGAAACCATGACATTTGTGGGCGTCTAGTCAAATAGGGTGATTACGATCGTGTCAAGTATAAGGTACACAGACACTAAACCACCGCACCTGAATGAAAGTATATCTGCTGTATCAAGTCGGGGCTGCGCATTTGAAGCGTACATTTTACGATTTTCGGGATTCTTGCGCGAATAGTTCGACTCACAAGGCTGTGTTTTTCGACGTAGACATTGTACATTTGAATTCGTAGTCAGATGACGGTGAACAAAGCTTTGGCGTGCGTCTTTTCTATTTTTCTTTTATGTTTTTCAAGCTTACCACCGCTTGCACGTTGTATAGCTAGTCGGATGAAAGAACAGCAAGCCCAATCAATAAAATAGGACAAAGTATACTGCTTTTTGTGGATGTGTAATTGTTTCCCAAAGTATTTTGATGGTATGCTGGTTGTGTTGCGTGTGTGTGCGATAAATGAATAGAGATAGACGGAGAGAAAACGTCGTTTTTCTACATTTGTGCAGATGTTTAGTACATAACTATCTCACGTTGCTTTGGTTATTCAATGCGATGATTTGCACAGGATAATCGAAGAAGACAAGGATGTTATGTTGTCCTGGCTGAAGGAGTTGGTTGCCATCCCTACGGTCTCTGCAGAACTGAGCCACCGCCAGGACATCATGCGTCTCATAGAGCAGACACAAGAGGTTTGTGCCGACAATATTCTTTATCTGAACAGTTCACGTAAAACTGTCTTGCGCATTTACACCATATATAATCTCGCTGTAACGCATCCAGTTCGCGCACTCATGTGCGTGGTTGCTCGCCGAGATTATGTTTTAAGAGCTTCCGTGCCTCGCAGAAAACGCTATCATTTACGAAGGTGGGCCGAGTGAGTCAAAGTGATAAAAAAGGCTAAGCAATTGCTTCACATTCAGTTTGATTGGCGGAAGTTAGAAAGGGATCAGACGCAAACACAGGAAGAGTTTGTCATCTGTAGATGTGCCCTATTCCCGCCATGACCCGTAGCTTTGACATTACTTTACGTGGGTCAGAACTAATATACATGGTATAGTTTAAGTTAACAGTCATTTTAGACCCAAACTTGGTGTCGTAGTTAAATATACATAAGTGCAAACAACTTTAATTTCATGTGTATTTCTTTAAGGACTTGATCGATCGATATGTGAGGTTTATCGTTTCAAAGCTACCATATGATTATGATAGACGCCGTAGTGGAGGCCTCCGGAAATTTCGACCACTTGGCGTTCTTTAACATGCACCCAAATCTGACCACACGGACCTACAGCATTTTCGCCTCCATCGAAAATGCAGCTGCTGCAGGCGGGATTCAAACCCGCGACTTGCGGGACAGCAGCCGAGTACGTTAGTCACTAGACCACCGCGGTGGAGCACTCTTTAAGGACCTTGGAGGGGGCATTACATAAGCGGCGGGTTGTTGTACAAACATTTTGGTTGTAGAAATATCAACATAATGTCACATTAGTTATGTTATACGTGAAGCTTGACGAGCAGGTGATAGCGGTGGCGTTGGGTGAAAGGCCGTTCCAGCCGTTTGCTACTCTGTAGGAAAAAAATGAACCAGGAAATATTTTGATACGTGCACAAGGGCGGAAAACTGCATGGCCAGCGCGGCGAAACGTGGGAGCTATACCGGGATAATGAAACGAGCGCAATTAAGGGGTGAGTGAAGGAACTTGCGAAGTAGAGAGAAAATCGCAACGCGTCATTGGCGAGACATATACGTTGAAAAGTTACTCTTGGCTTTGGGGCATCAGTTGGTTTGCATAGGATGTTGCTTCCAGTGTTGCTTCACTTTGACGCACGGAATTTCTGCGAACAACGGCGGTCATTAACCGCTCGAACGTCGAAAGCTTGTTCATTGTTCGTTATCACAATTACGATATGTTTATATGTAATATGTCAGTACAATATTATGAAGATCACTTTGTTGGGATACATAGTTGATCGCTTCAGTTCTTCGCAATGCGCATAAAAAAATTTGCGGTTATGTTCTTTGCAGTGCAGTCTCTTGTCTCTGGAGAGCGGAGCAGGGACCGAATTCTCGCTGCTCCGCAAGTGCAAGTGTGTCAAGCATTTACCGACAACTAACATTTGAGATCACTCTTCCTTAACAATATTCCAGTTGGTTCGTCTTGCTCATTATTATTCCTAATATGACAAGCGTAACTGTGTCCTTGAAAAAAAAAAAACAAGGCCTTGAATTAGGAGAGTTCGCTCATTCTCTGGCGACACATCCTTACACTATCTTCGTTTTGTTTGAGCGACGGCAAATTCAGCGTATAGCTCCGAACAACGCTTTGTTCTTTCCGTTCGCCTCATCCCGTCACCTTAGAAGCTGAAGAAGCACGGCGTGCACGTCACCTTGGAGCCGCTGGGTGACCAGAGGCTTTCGGACGGCAGCAAGGTACCGTACCCACCTCTTCTGCTGGCCAGCACCACCCACGACGCGAAGCGGAAGACGCTGTGCGTCTACGGCCACTTAGACGTGCAGCCCGCGCGCAAGGTAAGCTGAAGGATGTGTTTCAAGGCATAGAGTTTCCTGTAAATGCACTCTATAGGGGGAACGCTTGCGCCAGTGTTTATGGGGCTGCAACGCACGTTGCTTCAGCCAGCATGGGAATGATGGGTCGTACACAAAGTTGTCTAAATCTTCGTTCTTTTGGCTTCGCGAGGCTTGTAGCTGCTTTGTCGCGAAACGGCAATCGACGATTGGCAGTTGCACTTCACCGCCTTAAAATTTAGGCTTACCAATTGAAATCAGGTCGCAGAGATCTCAACGATCCGTTCTTTAATTCGAAAACAAAACTAAAACAACAACAAAGCCACAAGTGTATTCGAGGCGTGCAAGCACGAAGACTAATTTCGCGCACTACCCATCATTCCCATGGTGGATGAAGCGATGGTAGCGCCACAGTTTAATTGAGGAAACTATATGTTTCGAAGACATCACCAGGATTATGGGGGACAGTCTGTACGTGGTGCCACCTCTCAGTGACGTAGAAACGGTGTTCTGAGAAATAGGTAGAATAAATCACATCTGACGAAAAAAAGCTGGTCTCCAAAATTGCGCATAGTTATGTACAGCATAGACCCGCTGGAACATTCTGGTGATATCGCAGCATAGCACCAAGAAGCATGCGGCTTTTCGGGAACCTTGTACGCCAATTAGAATACACACACATGTTACGCCATTGCAAAAGACTGTTGGAAGGAAGCCACGCGGTTTGTATAGTGCGACATTGTAGTTATATCAGAATGTTCCATTCGATCTCTGCAAAATATAAGCTGTAGTTGTTCTTCGTAACTGCCGTCTTTAGTCACGTATAAATTCCCCGCCAATTTTCTACTCAGTTATAAGGAAAGTCACTGCTGTCGCCGACGAGAAAACGCTGTGACAACGTTTCCAAATCCTGGCCATGTGGACCACACTGGAAAATAAAAATAGAATTTTGCGTGCACGACTTGCGGAAGATGCTTTATTGCTTCGTTAATGTAAATACTACGCACCCACGCGTGTTGGCGCTGCTATCACAAGTCATTACTGTTGTAAGGCGCTGCACACAGCGTTCGGTTGACATTCGTGCAATATCATATATAAATAAAGGGCCGCTCAAAAACTGCTCAAAATACAAAGAATCACGTCGTCCTTTCCTGGCTTTTCATCTCTTCGGTGCAGCAGTGCCAGTCTGTTCACGTGACGTCGTGAAAATAGCTCTCGATTGGTCCATATACGAGGGATATCGGTTGCGAATCTTCTCTTATCCGGCCTTACCGTGCGATCGCCCAATTTACCTTGTATCACACGGCTATCGCACGCGGTGAACTGATTTCACTTCACTTTACGCGTTTTTGACGGCGCAGCAGAAATAACAGCAGTAGCCAAAAAGTTTTAAAAATCTGACATAATCGACAAAGATATTGTTCACGTGTTTGATGAAGAAATAGGCTGTGGCTTGTGGGAAAGATATAGTGAACGGGAGAACAAAATCACTCTCTCGTCTTTGATCTTCGAGTAAGTCAGGGGCCGTTCGAGTAATTCAGGGGCCTTTAACAGCGTATGCTGATGTCTAGAAGCGTTGCGTTATGCTGTGAGGCCGTTTTCGCGGATATTGTTGCGTTGACATTTCCTGCAGGACGACGGATGGGATACGGAGCCTTTCCAGCCCGTGGAGAAAGACGGCCGCCTGTACGGTCGCGGCACCGGCCCACAACAAGGGTCCGCTGACCGCCTGCATCTGGGCTCTGTGCGCCTACCTGCAGACGGCGGGAAGGCCGCCTCTCAATGTCAGGGTGGGTCTCAGTGCACGCGTCTACCTGGCGCGTCACCACCGCGCTTGCCCCGTTCTGCGCCGCTGCAAAGAAGAAATGGAAGGGCATCTTGCGAGCACCTCGCAGCGTGAAATTGAAGCGTATAGAGATAGGAAGGCCTTTGCCTTGAAAAATATTAGCACAGCTTGCACCATGTCGCTCGAAGCTGGCTTGGCTGGCTTGTACCCTCTCACCTGTCCCTTTACCACATCATGTATAGACGAATTCCACCGGACTTACGTCATGAAAAATGCGGTGGCGCTGATTAGGTAGGCAAAAGACGCTCTGCCTACTGCAGTTTCTGCTGGGTTTTCAAGTGGTGCATGTAGGTGTTATCAGTGAAGCAACGAGGAAAAAAAAACGGTATGCCGACAAACTGCGTCGTGGTTGAATGTGAGTCGCGTCTCACAACTTTTTTTTTATTACTTGCTTTTGCAGATCACCCTATACTAATGCAGTGCATAAACAGTACATCCACTTAGTTTTGTTTGTTGGCGCACATCGCAGCCCTCAGCGCTTATGTTTTTCACAATGCTTATGGCGTCTCACAACGTCGTTTTGTTGGCGCACATCACAGTCCTCAGTGCATATGGCGGAAGTTACGTGCGGACGGTGATATAATTTTACTCATAATGTCGACATCAGCCTACCTGTGCTTACAGACATGGAATGGGTCTATATGCGGTTTCAAGATTGCAAGCGATGTACCCCAGAAAACTTCTGGTCACCTCATTTACCAGCTCTTAACGTTGAAACTGAAAGCACGCTTTCATGTTCCTTTTAAGAATAAGAAATGTCTCTCTAGTATTTTAGATAAAAGAAACGTGCGTAAAGTTCAAGGGAATCTCCTATAATTCTGATGTAGCACGATAGAGCATTTATTTGAATATATTTTGTCAAATAAGAGAACAAAAGTCAATAGGAAATCAGCAGGCTGTTTTCTGAATCTCTTCTTGCCCACCGATGCTATTAAGGCACATCGGTTGACGAAACGGGATGTCATCAAGGGGATGTGTTTCCAAACAGTGAAAGGGTTCTACATGGCTATGCTTGCTCTCTTTGTCTTCGTGCCTGTAGGCAAACCTCGACAGTTCTGCTGTAAAAAATATATAGAAAGCGGCCCTCGCGCGACTCAGCCTGCATATGTCTGTCGACACTACAATGCGGAGGGGGAACGTGCTGTGGAAGACGCCGAGCAGGTATTGTGCGGCAGGCCGAAAACGTACGCAATGCCGAAATGGGCTCGACAAGCCCCAAAACGTGGTGGACGTTGGAGCTTCGCCACTAATAGTCGAACGCCAAAGCGTAATAGGGCCGCGTTTGCATCGTCTTACGTTTTGCTATAGTGTGCTTCGATTAATTCCTGATGGACACCTCAACCATACCGCGAGGAGAGGAATGCCCATGAATACATGTTTTGTACTCTTCTATATAGAATGCACGGTGAAGTACACTTGCAATGACCCCACTACGTCAGTATTCAACAGAGAGAGGCACCCGACAGTGAACCAGATGGTGCAACGAAGCTCTTTGGGCTAAGGTCCCTATACGAAACAAGGTAGCGTCACTCATTGTTCTCGAGCCGTCCTCCTCACTCTCTCGATTACTCCTCTTTTTCTCTGATATCCGCATCTGTAATTGGTGCATTACTTGCGCGTGATCTTGCAAATGGCTGATGGTGTTATTTATTATTATGCAAAAGGTTCAAAACGAGTACGCATGAGCATATGGCTCCAGCCGGATTCTCGCCGTGACCAAAGACAAAATCGTAGCCAGAACATAAACTGAAGAGGAGGAGCGTTTCGGTGTGCGCTAAGTCGACCAAGATTGTTTCGCTATGCTCGTTCAATGCAACATCTGCGTTTTTCAGCAATGCTGCGTTGCCGTAAACAACAGAAAATGGTTTCGCTCTCTTCAACTTACCTCGTGCTTTCCGAGATGAAGCGCACCATGAAGTGCAACTATGAACCATTTCACGCGAATGCTTTCGTGCAACTCCGTCAACGTATGTCGACGCGGATCTGCGAAGCTGAACTTGTCGGTTTTTATTGAAACGCCAGGCGCGCGTCTAATGCGTGTCTAGTGCATGCCAGTTGGTACAAATACATGTGGGTATGCACGTATACAGAACAGCTGTAGGTTGTAATCAACGCACCTTCAGAAACATTTCACTCTTGACCAGTTCCCGCTTGAGCCGAAACGCGCTGCTTCGAGACACCTCACCAGTAGAACTCTCACTTTTCAGGAAGTTCCCAGCACCGCATCAGAATCACTTGGCATCACGATTGTCCAAATAGACACATTAAAAAAAAAAAAACGTCATCGCAGTGCTGCTGGACGAGTGTTCGTACCAGTCTGGTCGTAGTTTTTTTTTCTTGCGTGTGCACAAGCCGGTTGTAATCAATCGTCACAACGTCACGCCCTGTGGCCACTTACAGGATTCAGCAAGAAGCACGTCCACTGTGTCACAGCACGAACAAAACACAATCGGAGAAGTGGACTAGTTAGAACTGGACAAAATACCGCGGCCATGGAACTAAAATGTACTACGCGAGACGCCATGGCTAGTGGTTTAAGGTATAGAACTGCCCAACGTTGCCGGTTGAGTAACGCACATTTCGCTTGCTCTTGTGTTGTGCCGTTTATGTTCGTAAAAGTAACTGTTTATTCTACGTCTTATTTCGTTCCATTTCGTTTCATTTACATCTATTCACCGTAGCAACAGAACCCAAACATTCGCTTTTGGATGAAAGTTTTAAACCTTCTAGGGGGCGCTTCAGGCAAATAAGCGAGGAAGAAAAGGGAGGGTGTCGCTACCTTGGAAACTTGTTTCATCTAAGGACCTTACTTTGGGCCGCCTCAGCGTTGCTGGTACCGAACACCAGGGATACTAAGAAAATGGAACGCTCGCTGAACACAGTGACACGCTGAAGTGTCAGTGCCCTTTTTGGCACGTTTGCAAAGAACGCTTCCCGGGCGCTTACATCATCAGCCGTGACCGCTTGCTCGAAACTAAAGAAAATGATATGGACGTGCAAGCTCGATTTTGCTGCGTCTACTCGCTATAGGCTACGCATTGGAAGACTCGGTTTTGCTGCACCTACCCGCTAGGCTGTGTGTTCTGGCGCTACCATCAGGTCTCGTAAACTGCATTGCCGGGTGCCTATAAGGCGACGCCCGCGCATTCTCTGCTGCACACATTGTTGACACTGTTGCTGATGATGATTAATGACTACTTAGCGCTTCGTAATGATTGCGCCTTTAAATCAGGTACTCGTTAGGCAGTTACCTACCTGGTGTAACTTATCTTCCATGCAGTATTCCATGCATAAACGCCACTCTTCGCACTGCCTGAGGCATGTGCAGAGTTTTCTCCCGCTATGCGACTTCGAGCACTAGCGTGGTTCTGTGGCAGAACATGAGAGCGAGCGCTTCGGTTAGGTTCCGGCTCAGACGCATTATCTTCATTTGCATCGATCGCGGTTTTTCGCTCACTACCGACGACGCTGACACAGACACCGGAATTTCCACGACGCGCGCTCTTTAACGATGCTGCGTTAAAAGGAGACGCGATGAACCAAACGACTCGTCGGCTTCTGACTTCACGTTTATGTCTTTAGACCAACGCCGCTAAGGCTCTACCGTCGGGGTGTCTTAGAGATGGTTTAAAAGACCCTTGAAACTTTTCTGGAGGTTTTTACCACCAAAGAATTTTTATGGGCTGTGTGGCCTACCAAAATTTCCCCCTTCTCTTCTTTTTGCTTGTGATATAGTATATTACCTTCGTATTTTGTTACTAGGTCCAATTGTTTCATCATCACCCCGAACCGTGACGACATTGTTGCGAAATTCACTAAAGGTAAAAAAAAATTCCTTTGCACATTTTTCCTCACAACTCTTTCAATACATCTTGCAGGATCTCTTCGAGCAAATCTTCACACACAGACAAAATGTGTTTCTTCAAGGTCAGCTTTGCAATGGGCTGAAGCATTTTACCTTGTCAGGCGAAATAACTTACGGATAAGACACAGCCAAAACAGCAGACACTGGCTTCACTGCATTAGTTCCTCACAAAGCGAGAAGTGTTTCTTCGAGTGGTGTCTCTTACACTGTGGCCTTTGTCGTCGTTACGTGCAGATGATGATCGACAGCATGCAGGAGGTCGACTCGGAGGGCATTGCCGCTTACCTCAAGTCGAGCAAGAAAAGTGATCTTCTGGGTGGTATCGACTACGTCTGCATCGCGGATGGCGTGTGGTTGCGGCCGAAGTCGCCCTGCCTCACCTACGCGCTCAGGTTAGAAAGGCCACTAGGGTGGCCTTACACGTGTTACACTTTAACTAAGAATAAAAGACAGACAGACGGACGGACGGACGGACGGACGGACGGACGGCGGGACGACAGACAGACAGACAGACAGACAGACAGACAGACAGATAGATAGATAGATAGATTGATAGATAGATAAATAGATAGATAAATAGATAGATAGATAAATAGATAGATAGATAAATAGATAAATAGATAGATAAAATAGATAGATAGATAGATAGAAAGATAGATAGATAGATAGATAGATAGATAGATAGATAGATAGATAGATAGATAGATAGATAGATAGATAGATAGATAGATAGATGCATGGATTACTGCGGACTCGGTTTGCCAGGTAGCTTTAGAGCGTGCTAGTGCTCACAACAGAATATTGTATACATATGACCGGTTCGGTGCGCTTTCCTACTGAGACATGCTATTGTCCATATACTTGTAAATAACAAACTGCTTGTTATCCTAATCAACAATGAAGTAAAAGTAGTAAATGAAATGAAAACATGAGCTAACACTTTCTAGTATATGTATAAAAACAAACATATGTAAAAAACGAATGAGAGGCATTTCACACATCTTAGGTTCCTCAACTAATCAGCAGCAACAACAACAAAAAAAACACGATACCTTGCACTTACGGGAATATATGATTCTATAGAGCTACGTTACTTCGCTCGAGTTATCCATTACATTAAGAATGCTAAAAAAAGACAAATGGTGGTGCGCTTGGTCACACAAAGTTGTTGAATGCATTGTGTATAAAGAGACTGCTTTTTTTTTATTCTCTCAGGGGTATATGCCATTTCCAAGTGGAAGTGACTTGCGCCGACGCAGACCTTCATTCTGGAATCTTCGGTGGAACTGTGTAAGAAGTTGATTCATCTTTAAATTGAATGTTGTTATATACTTGCGAGCATGACCTATTTGAACATATGTAGTAGAGAAGCAAATAGTAGCATAGTTTACTGCGATAAGCTGGTATGTTTGTTGTTCGAATGAAATAAATGTCAAAGATTTTAAATTACGCGAGTTAATAGAAAAGGAGACTTCTAATGACGACAGATTATTTCTCAATACTGCGCTGGCTTTCTTGTACGCATGAGTTCGTTGTGTACTTGAAGAAAGGATAATCTTAACGTTGCGATATGATGCTATATGTAGTAGATATCTTTACGACTGCTATACCAATTCTATGTCAGCGTATACCGTACTGTGTGGCTTCCTCGACTGATAAGTCAAGGTGCAAAAAAATATAGCGTACAAACTAGAACGCGTGGTGAGTGTTTATTGAAAAGTAGTTTTCTAAATGTGACTTGCGACTAGTTAACACCGCACGTCCAGGAGCGATATGTCCTCTTTGGTAGAAAGTTGGGTTTTATTTGTGGCGTTTGTCTTTTGTCCAATTATTGCGTCTTTTGACCATTGTCTTGTTTCTATTTTGCGGTCAAATTCATTATGAATGATTTCTTCCAACTAGCCCAACTCGCAACTCTCTTAATTTTTGTCCTTGTACGCATTCTCATTGAAGTTGAGATGGCAGTGAAGCGAGTCAAAGTGTTAATTTTGAACGTGGGTTGAGGAGCGACGCTTTATAAAACCAGCAGTTGCTCCGTGTATGAATACAATCGGCGAGCGAAGCTCCTTAGAAATGGGACGCGAAAGACTACGCGCCTGATCTCACTGCTGGTTTTTATGAAGGCGGTAGGGTGGAGAGCGGGCGGGGAGAGCGTCGGCTGTGCTCGGTGGCGGGAGCGAGTGAGTGTGCGGCGCGCGCAACGCAGCGCGAGCCATCTGCAGGCACTGCGCCGTGCTCCCGACCAGGTTGCAGAAATTAGGTGCCTTTTCTCATCTTCTAACCACTACGCCCCCATCTGCCTCCGCGCTTGCGCTCCCGTATGAGTGTTGCTCGGTACGCTTGCCCGGCACGCTTGCCTGGCGCAGGGAGCTTCGACGGTGACAGCGAAGTGCGGGCGTAAGGGGCTTAGTTCCTAGACGAATAAAAACGCTTTTTAAAGATCTTTTTTGAGGACCTTCGACGCAAAAATTTTGGTCTGTCTGTAAGCTTTTTTTGTGTGTGATTCTGGACAGTCTTATGTGCTTATGGCGACTGTTTAGCGTAGTATGTCTTTCCAACCGTATTTCTTCATCCGGCAGCATCGAGGCGATGCCCGACCTGATGTACCTGCTCAACAGCCTCACTGACGCCGAGGGGCGAATCAAGGTGCCGGGCATCTACGACGAAGTGCTGCCCTTGACGCACGAGGAGCGCAAGGTGTACGAGGGCGTCGAGTTCAACGTCGTAAGTATGCATTGATCAGTGAGTCACCGTAGTGTTTCCAGTTTTCTCGCCAAGCGACGTAGCGAGGGGGGGTACAAGAGTTCGAAGCGTGAAAACAGCGTCTGCTAAACGCATGCTCCGGACTATCCAAAATATAATTGAATGCAACCTGAAAAGAAAAATAACAACTTGCATGCAGGCCTGAACTAAGTTTTGCCCGTGTGAGCAAAGCACCTTTTACTGATCTGGTAGGATTTTGTTGTTACAATGATAAGAATGAGAACATTCGATTAACATGCATTTTTTATTGCGATATAGACACTCGCAGCTGGATTTTGCCGCCGTCACCGTATATGTATACGCACCTATATATATATATATATATATATATATATATATATATATATATATATATATATATATATATATATATATATATATATATATATATATATATAATATGAAAATGCAATGCATGCAAGAAAGAAAAAACTCCCGAAATAGACTCCTGCGCGCGGAATCGAACTTGGGTCCTCCCAGTAGTGAGTGCGAACCGTGAACCACTGCATCAGCGAGGAGCACATCCTCCAACCTTCGAACGGCAAGCTCTTTATATCTACCACTTACCGATGCTGACGGGCATCTTGGGGGGGGGAGGGGGGTAAATATCGTGTTTTCAGCATTACCAGCAAGATGACGCAATGAACGCGTGTCACCATATCGCGTGGCGGCACGCGCTATAATCCCACGTGTACTTTGCCCCGTTTAGAGGAGGGGGGCGACGCTCTTTCGCGCGCCCTTATCTCGCGGTGAAGAGGATCATGCGTAAAGGCTGGCCTTGGGCCATGGTGTAAGATTGATTGATTGATTTGTGGGGTTTAACGTCCCAAAACCACTATTTGATTATGAGAGACGCCGTAGTGGAGGGCTCCGGAAATTTTGACCACCTGGGGTTCTTTAACGTGCACCCAAATCTGAGCACACGGGTCTACAACATTTCCGCCTCCAATTGAAATGTAGCCGCCACAACCGGGTTTTGATCCCGCGACCTGCGGGTCAGCAGCCAAGTACCTTAGCCACTAGACCACCGTGGCGGGGCCACGGTGTAAGATACAAACACAAAGTGTTTCTATCTTACACCGTGCGTCGGGTTTTACTTGGAGCTATTCTGTTGTAGTTACCGGGCGCCCAAAGATCACTACAATCATTGCAGTCTCAGTTCTGTATCTGTGACCACGTTTCGTGCGTCATTTGTGCGTGAGAAACGCGGGGCATGTTTTGATCTGCTTGTCATTCTGCGCGTGACTTTCCAATTGATTGCTATCACGTTCATTGCTTCGACTTCGCGGCAAGGCTGGGACTTTTTTCTTTGCGCGTATTTTGTTGCCTATAGCCGTGCAAAGAAGCAAACTGTGTCCGGCAATACTATGAATGCTACGGGATATTTAAAGTAAATATTTACGAATACAGTTTAAGAGTATGCGTAGCTGGGCTATAGTTTGCCCATAATCCTAAAACCTGGAAGTGAAAAATCGAAGTGGACAAGAAGGAACACAGAATGATAGGGTATAGGGCGCTGATAAGATAGCGCTCGGTCCTATTGTTCAGTGTTCCTTCCTGTCCTCGTCGATTTCGCGCTTTCAAGCTTTAAGATTCACGAGTACTCCACGTAAGTTACGGACGTGCCCGCCTTGCTAACCTGATCAGTAAGTTCTCGCTTACATATTGATGGTGTTAATTCAACTGCCACCTGTGTCAGGTTGTTTGTTCATGTGATTTAATTTAATTGTACTTACGCTTTGGAAGTTTCAATGGCAAAATAATTATATTCGCCTACGATATTTTCTAGTATCATCTATTTATTGTTTCAACTGTTCAACGACATTTAGGCCGTTCACCTTAATGAAGGTGGTATGTATCTGCGTCTGCATAATAGATAGAAATGATGAATGACCTTGAGGGTTAAATGAATAATTGCATTCATGGGCGCGAGCCGGAATTCACTCCGAAGTAATTCTAAGCGTAACTAATAGAGCCGCGGTGCGCATAACCTGATGGCAGTGACTGTGTCAAAATAGTGAACGAATCGAACAAGATATCAGGAATGCCGAGGAGGAAAGAATGCACCTGGCATGAATTGCTTTCGGAGCGGTCTTTATGTACGATTGCCCTGACGGGGAACCTTCGCAGGAAGAGTACCGAAAGGAGCTTGGTATCGCCAGGCTCGCGACAACCGACAAGGTGGAATTACTGATGCGTCGGTGGCGCTATCCTACGCTCTCCATCCACGGTGAGAAACGTAGCCAATCTCTTCTATAGATTCTTACCTGAAAGTTGTAGCGCTACATTTGACGAGGATGAGAAGAGAAGCACATACATGACAGGACGGCCGCTGTCATTCACTTATCTTCTTATCCTCGTCAAACGTAGCGCTACAATTATCAAGTCAAGATGTGTCACTGCCAGCAGCCCCGAAATGTGTTTTGTTCTTCTATACTGTCGGAGAACGGTGAAAAAAGCCATCTGGCGAACATGTCGACGCCTTTGTGTTGTTTCAAAGCTGTGGGTGGACGTTAATTTGTCTTGATGCTTTTCATTGACTTGTACGTGTGTCCTTTCGACATTCACTTCGACCATGGCTTCTTCTGTTCACGTCTAATAAGGTAATTTGAACATATAAGAGATATAGACTCCCTCACATGTTTTCTTTTTTTTTTCAGTTGAGGGGGGTTCAATGTTGAGGGGGGTTCATGTTTCGCAATATTAACTGAATGGTTTTAGGTGACGAAGCCAGGATACGATTAATAAATCCATCTTGCTGTGCCATATAAACAGGAGTAGAGATAATTGTTGAAAATAAGAGGAAGTTTAATAATGGTAACGAGTCGACAGGGTACACAGGGGAAAACAGTGACAAGGGATAGAATGCCCCAGTAGGAATAGTAACATCATAGACAGTATAACATAGCGAATAAGAAAGAAAGTCGACATTTTTTGTATGACCTCTCAAAACTCCACCCGAGCATTACTTTGTTTGAAACACGAAATAAAGAAACATCGAAAATAAAAAACTTCGAGAACAAGCTACTCCACAGATAAGTTATCCTACATTGTTCCTACGTTACTTAATAGATATGTGAAAGCTGGCATAGATTTCTTACACTGTACACAGATTCAATTGCGCGATATTCACAAGTTTAGTTTTTAAGATTTCTTTGCAGTTGCTGTATTATCATAATTGCAATTTTATTTTTTGAATTTGGACTTGATTTTCACATCTTTATTTATTTATCTATTTGGTGTTGTTGTTATTGTTGTTGACTTCACATTGCTGACTGCTTGCCACTGCTGTCGTGCTAAAAGGCGGCTGTGGGCCTAAGTCAAGCTGCCTGTTTTGGAGAGTAGCCTTTACCTGCAGTTGTCCTTCAAACTATTGATAGAAAATAAACATTATTATTAATATTATTATCATCATTATTATTATTATTACGGTTAGACAGTGCCAAAAAATTGAAACAAACAAAAACATCTTGCATGCGAGAAGCCTAAACGGAGCTGCCGCTAGAACAAATGCATTGGAAACATGACGCGTGGATTGGTTCAGGTGTCGAGGGCGCCCACTGGTCGGCCGGTGACAAGGCCGTCATTCCTGGCCGTGTGGTGGGCAAGTTCTCCATCCGCACCGTGCCGAATCAGAAGGTGCAGAAAGTGCGCGAGTGCGTCGAGAAACACCTGCAGGAACAGTTCAGGAAGCGGGGAAGTCCGAACCAAGTCAAGTGAGTGTCAAGTGTACAGAGCGCGATTCATTTACTATCAGTCTCCGCGGAGACCCTTACGTGTTATGAACGTGATGCAATATGCATCATAACGGAGCGAAGGAATGTGAAAGGAATACATATAGGCAGGAGGAGAGCTTGTCATTTCTTTATGTGCATGGGCGTACCTATAGTGCCATGTAGTACGATATCATAAAAAGCCTGTAAAGTGATATCTGATTCATTATATGCGTGCGGATATACTCGTCACTTCAGTCTATAGAGTATGTGCATTGAGACAGCGTGCCATCCGTAAGCTACGTAATCCTCAGTGTACAGCACAGCCGAAACGCTTAATTCAGAAAAGTGGTGATTGGGCCACGTAAAAGATCCTTGTCCACTTGTTGTCATTATTTCAATGCGTTCGTATGAAGTGCCAAGTAGCGAGCACCTTACAGAAGCCGAATGCAACGCGATGTTTCAGAGTCATCACGTCGCACTGTGTCGATCCCTGGTTCACTGATCCCAGCGGGCCGAACTTTCAAGCAGCGGAGGCCGCCGTGAAAGATGGTACGTTGAAGAGGCGAAGTCGATAAAAATTTGTTTAATGAAGGACGTTTAGTATTGGGCGAATTGATAATAACATGAGAAATCGGTAGACGTCACAAACGACTCGACTAAAGAGTATGATATCATATAAAATTATGAATTTTCTTACTGTACTTTAGTAATTGCCGCTACGCAGCAACGTGACTGAAGGGAGTCACGTACGGTTAAGCCTGGCCGGTATTGGCTAGAAGAGCAGTACATTAATTTACAACATTTCTTTAGATCCGTATCGGGTGGGGTGCGAAAAAGGAGTTGCGCAAGTCTTTGTAGAAATCCTCAGAATTCAATTAAGTGCTCAGGAATTGCTTGCGCCTACGAGATCTGCCTTGTTCATATAATACGTTGAGTACCATGTGTAGCAGGCTCTAGAGGCAATCGGTGCTATGAATAAATGTTCAACAGAAAAAGGGACAGAAAAACAGTCGGGGCCCAATATGAAATCATTGTAACTTGTCAATTTACGTTGCTTGGCTAGTCGGTTCATACTGAGCAGAGTTCGTTCAGTGTGAACCAAGAAGCCCAACAACATGTTTTAGAGAGAGTTGCCTGTTCTCAAGTCGTTGCCAGGTTTTAGTAGTTCTGGACACATTTGTCGCTTTTGATTGGTTACAGTGAGGAGATGAGAGGAGTTACACTTGTCCAATGCCTCGCCGGGATTATTCTTTTATTCTGTTTCGTTTCCACGCAGCGTATGGTTTGGTGCCCGACAAGACCCGTGGTGGCTTCACGGTGGGCCCAGCGAAGCTGATACAAGAGCACGTATGTCGTGACGTGCTCGTGATGCCCATCAATCCACCCGGCTGCGGGTTTCACTCGCAGAACGAGCACATCAGCGTCACCGATCTCGTCGCTGGGGTGCGTCATGCCTACCATGCTACTTTTTTGTCTTTGTATATCCACGCCTGTGTGGCTTACGGCTGGTTTTCACGAAGTAGTCGTCCAGCCCACCTTTCTGGATAAAGTGCGGCTCCTCATGTCCTAGTATAGTTCTATGCTGTGCCATCAAACTCTGCACATTAGCATTGGGAAGTGGCAAGCTACCGTTCTTTCTTGTTTATTTCAGCATGACAGACAAACACCACAGGAGTAAACAGTAAACTGATTAGATTAAAGGGAAGACCAATCCTCTGCAGCCCCTTGTGATGAACCTGTTCACTCGGGCTAATCTAACCCAGCCTAACCCTACATAACCTGACCTATACCGTAACCTTGCCTAACCTAACCTTAGTCTAACCTAACCGCCTAACCTGACTTGATGCGCTTGATCTACCGATTGTTAAACTTTCGGAGGTCTTTCTAGGTGAGACGTTCGTGTGGTGAGTACGTAAGTGTGCATGTGTCTTTAAATATTTGCTGAACATTTGTTATCTTCGGGTAAAAGAGACATCCACCGGCACGCTTTCTTATACGAAGTACACATTGAGAAACATTTAGCCACAGGCGCCTGAAACGCTGACTCTATAGTCTGGGGTATTGAGCTGGGCACAGCAATCGGATGTAACCTACTTTTTGTTTATGTGCTTCATAAAAACGACAATCGGACTTTCTTCACGTTCTCCTTTATTTTTCCAGGCGAAGCTGTTCGCTGCGTACATGTACGAGCTGTCCAAGCTGAAGTAATGAGACGGCCGGACGCATGAATGGACAATCATCAGGGACCCAAGCAGGCAGTGTGGTAGACTTAACACGCACTCTCCCCGGGGGTATAAAGACATAATTTGAGCAGCCACTCTGTAAATTAACTCGTTGGATTAAGTACAGTGGTTACACCATCTTCCCAGGAAAGGGTCTTCAGCGGAGACTGAAGGAAGGTTTCATTTGCACTGGGCAGTTTTTTTCCCTCCTTTGTGTGTACATAACACGCATTCTTCGACATCCACTGAATGGGCACTCTTTGTGTGGCTAGGCATCCTTTTTGAATGACGAAAATGTTAATTTTATTATTTCTCTCGAAATTAGGGAAACACTATAGCTTTGACATTTATGAATTTCATGACAAATTTATTGCCACTATAGAATGCACTTCAGCGCTGAAATTGTGGTTCTGGTATGCAAAAAAAAAGAAAATTACATGCTTTCTGCACTCTTCAACATCCGAATGCGAATGAAAAATTGCCTTCTGTACTTGATCACAATATTATACTGACACGACGTGTAAGCTAAACGGCTATTAAGTCGATTTTTTTTTAGTTTCAGAAGTCGAGCCTCAAAAAGGAATATGATAAACTACCGCTCATCTAGGTGGCGCTCTATTAGAAAACACTGTTTTATCTGCCATAAGGAGTGAGCGTTATAATGTTTGTCGGTGAGAATATGGTGTATAGGAATAAAACTGTCGGAGCTTCCTACTCCTCTTTTCAGATTTTAGAGCGAAAGCTGTTACGAGATCACAACAAGGTGCCGTAGTTGTCTGTCGCCGCCGGTGTCCGCAACCATTATCGCGCGAAATGAAAAAAACAAAAAAACAAAACAAAGTTAATGAAAACACCAATAACACAACGAGATTAGAACCTGGGTCTCCTGCGCATTTGCCCAGTATTCTAACACTGAGCAACGCCAGTTTTTTTATTCTTTGTCGCACTGTAAACTCACCCTAAACAGGCTTCATGTTGGGAAAGGAATCTCGTGTGTAATAAAGTGCTTCATAACATCATAGGAACAGCCAGGCGTCCCACAATGCGAACTGTGTAATGAGTAGGTCGTCAAATGGTACAACTCATTACAATAGCGCACGGAATAATTCTTCATCGTTGCGGATCATCATCATCTTCATCGTTGTCAGCCACCGCATAAAACGATTGCAGACATTTTTTCTTTCAAGTGTGTAGCGGACACCACGCTTCTCTATAGGGATTGCATAGTTGATGCCTCGATACTACAAAGAAATTATTTGTGGTGTTGTAGGTAAGTATTTGTGAGCAAGTGCGCTCGTAGTGTGCTCTACAAGTGTGCTTGTAGCGGTTACACGATGATGTTTACAAAAGGCTCTCAAAGGTCGCAGCTTTTGCTGTGACTATACTGCTCGTTCTGCGCCGGCCTAGTGCTTTTTTTTCCGGTTCATGCTACCATGTGGCCCTGACTGCATGGTCGACCATCGCGCCTTTCAACGATCTTCACTGATGCTTATGAAAAGAGCAACAGTAAATACAAGCCCACTGCCTTACACGAACGTACTGTAACCTAAAATTTATGTCGGATCATCGGAATTTGCAAGGTTTCTTCGCACATCTCAGCTTAAAGGGGCCCTGCAACACTTTTCGAGCATGGTCAAAAAACTCGGCCGATTGCTAGTCGAAGCTCCTGAGAACACGCGAGTCAAATATAACGTGGCACGCGTGGCCTGGAATACACTAAAAGTTCTCAATGTCGACGGAAAATTGCTTTCTCTTCTCTAGAAAAATTTTTGAATAAGGTCAAAAATCGCTTGTCACAGCCACTGTATCAGCCATTGGCTGATGTGAGCATGGCCCGTTGGGTGGCTATAGGGACCGCCACGAGACGCCATGGCTTGTCTACGCGCGCGCGCGCCTTCGCACTGAAAAGCCGCGCAATCGAAGAAAAAAAAAAGTGCTCAAGGTTATGAGGCGCACGCGACGTCATTCCTTTGCCCGTGCCATTCTTTTCTATTTAGCTTCCAGTGCTTTCGTCGGGACGAAAGGAGAGAGAACGCAATTGCAGCGTGCGAAAAATAATTGTCACTCCGCTCGTACTGAACGTATTCAAAATGCTTTTGCAGCGGTGAATTCACGAGGCGATAATCTCAATCCATTACTTGGATACTTAAAAAAAGACTGCAGGGTCCCCGTAAAGCTGAAATTCACAAGAAAAAACTTTTTCGGGGGATATTCATCTAGGCGCGCGTCGCCTCGATTTTTTAAAATTCTGCAGTCTGTCGACTAATTCACTTTGAAAACAGGCGCATAATATCTTGGAGAGGTAACGTTACACACAGTCCATTACTGAGAGACAACGTGTGTTGACTTCTCCGAGCTATCTAGAAAGGGGCTATTCTGGCGGCCATTTTAAAGGGAAAAAACGCCTGAACATATGCGCCATAGCAAACAAAAATGCCATAGCAAACCAAAATTGCATCCTCTGGGAATGCAATGTCCTTCCGTTTACCCGGGAACACCAATCCGGCCCGAGAGAACCAGGAAGCCCAACAAGCCATGGTGTGGTGTGCCAAGACTGCGGCCACGACCAATGGGTGGAGTCCCTCACTAGTGCTGTGTGGGAGCTGACCCACTAGGGGCTGGTTGCCTTTGCAACCTCTCTGTTAGCTTACGATCACTGCTCTCACACACAGATTTCGCCAGCTCCCTCAGGAGCGACATGAGGTACCTTAAAGGCACACTAAATAGTAGAAGAAAATTAACCTAATTGTAATAATATTTTTGTAAACTACTATTTCACAATACGAAAACAGCCACACTTACGGCGAGTAGACAATCGGTGAGCGAGAAAACGCGAAAAAACAAAATTCTGGTCATTACGCCACTTTCAGATTGCCGCACCAATCGCCTCTTCATCCCAGATTTTGACGGTGCCTACAATGTCTATTGGTGCTTGCGTAGTTCCTAATCTGTAAAAAAAGTCAGTGCAGTTGGCTCTGATTGATTGGTTGATACGTGGGGTTTAACGTCTCAAAACCACCATATGATTATGAGAGGCGCCGTAGTGGAGGGCTCCGGAAGTTTTGACCACCTGTGGTTCTTTAACGTGCACCCAAATCCAAGTACGCGGGTCAACAGCGTTTTCACCTCCATTGAAAATGCAGCCGCTGCAGCCGGGATTCGATCCCGCGACCTGCGCTCTAAGTTTGCTCTGAGGGGGCCACATATTAGACATATCATGTTCTCATTTCGCACCGCCAATATTGCAGAACATTACTTTAAAATAAATGATGTCAGGCGTGCAGAATGTGCGTTTAAATTTAAAAATGAAACTGTAATTTTGGTTTCTCCTCTAGTACTATGACTGTGGTCGTAAAACTAATGGCTTTAGTGCGTACAGAGTAAATCTGATCAATTTAAGTCGATTTGTCGTTACAATTTAGTATAACTTTATTGAGGTCGCCCAACCAAAAACTGCGAAAATTAGTGATTGTTTGCTCGAAAGAGGTTGCCGCTGAAGAACGGCCATCTCTAACACCCATCGAGTTTCATATAAGCACACTAGAGGGAACTAGGGTGCCAGTGCCTGACACGTGACGCTTCAGCGAGCAGAATGATGGGCAGTATATACATTGATTATTAGTCTAGTCTTCGTATACTTGAGGCTTCGTTTGTCTTCGCGTGGTTTCGGGCTGCTCTGTCACTAGACGACAATCAGCAAAGGTTAAGCAGTTACGCTTCACCACAATAACCTCTCAAGCTCACGAATTGAAATAGGGTCTTGAAGTTCAAAATGGTTTGTTATTTTGTTAAAAAAAAAGAAACAAGCCAAAACACTGCACTAAACAAAGCTACAATAAACGAAGCCGTAAGCACGAAGATTAGGCAAATCTATGTACTATCCATCATTCCCATGGTCGCGGTACGACCGCAGCGCGAGAGTCTCCTCTGGTTAATTTTAGCAAAGTCTATGCTAACCCCCGTATTCTACAACGTCCTTTCATCAAACGCTTCACCTTTATTTGAGAAACTCGAAGAGAGCGCCGTCTCTATGATGAGAAAGTCAATGCACATGAGGGATAATTTGCAGCGATTCTTGAGAAGCGCGGTGTTAATATCAGTCAAGCCGCGGCGCAGTGTTCTACTCTGTCAAGCGAAGGACGAAATTAGGGTCTAAAAGCGTGTGTGAACACGGGGGTAAATTCCTGAAAATTGAAAAAAATTAAGTTGTATCCCCCTCCTCTACCGGCTAGACACTGCAGACTGCGCAGTGACACACTGACAACGCAGCTTCTTGTACACAATTTGGAAGCTCGGTGGGGCGTAGTCGTCGGAAATGAGGTTGAAAGAAGGCTTCATTTGGGACACATGAGCGCCGATGTAAAGGAACAGTTGGCTTTTATGTCGAACGTTTGATGTACTGGACGTAATTTCGCTTTTTTGTACATTGCTGGAGATGTACGAAACGCAAGAAGAAAAGATTTGTATTGCTTCCGCGATTGCAGTGCTGGGGACGTCCTGTCCTTCGAGGGAGCAGAGTCGCAGATACATTGGAAACGCGCAGTTCTGTCTTCATTTAGTGGGTGTTTTGTCATTGTGGACAAGAAAAAAAAAAAGGGGCCTTCGAACGTTCTCAGCTCACTTTGGTTGGTGGAGAGCACACAGGTAAGACTTTATATCGACGCATAGATTCGAATACGCGTCCATTCCACTTGGGATCCCCTGCCGCCTGCCGTGGGCAATGTGTCCTAAGTGGGGTGGCCCATTTAGATTGTTTGCTAGGCACAATCGACTAGGTAAAGCAGGCACGCTCATCGGTCTGGTTATGGCAGCGGATATGTGTAAATGGTTGGACGAGACTTCGTCGGGAATCCGAAAAAGTAGCGCGGCGAAAGTGGGTCATCGGGGAATAGTCGTCTTTATCGCGGCCGTCAAGCAACTGCCACTGGTTAGTCGCGCAGACATCCGCGAAGCGCTGGTTGCCATAGCAACGCGAGATAGGTGTTGCCGTTACCGGACTGATGGGCGCATATCGTTGAATGTAGTCTATTGCGCTTCGCGAGTCGCCTCTAGAGCGTGCACAAGACATCGCAATATAAGCGCTCAGCTTTTATCACCAGGGCTGGCCACATCGAAACAGTGATATCACGCAACGCCTCCTTCCGCTGTGTCAGGCGTCGCTTCCGATTACTATACTGTTTCGAAAAAGCACCGTGGTCACTTAACGCCGGTGCCGGCCATCGTGAAAGCGTGCCAACATGCAGTTTAAAGTTTTTTGATGATCAATAGGCCGGCTGAAAAGCGAAAGAAATGTGCTTCAGAAAGAGAAAAGGTCCCGGTGCTTGGCACAACGAGTGGCTAGACACATACGACGGCCAGTTCAGTGCGACACTCTCTTGATGAGAGGATGCGTCGATTCCTTCTGCTGCAGCGGACGTCGTACTGAGGTTGGCAGCCGTGTCGTCGCGAGAAGAACTTTTTGGGGTCACAGTCAACTCCTGCGTGGCCATGGTGGTACTGCCGACAGCGTTTATTGTCCCGCCTTCGGTGTATACTGTCTTGAACGAGAAGGTCGACGTCAACACCACAGTAGCGAGCAGCAGGCAGAAGCCATGGTCTAGGCATGTGACAGAGGGCTGTGACCGGGCTGTGTTGTTTGCGATGTGTCTTCATGGGCCGGCTCCGTCAGCTTTTGCGGACGACATTCAGAGGCTACGTGGGTTTGGAAACTCCAAACATGGTTGGGTGAGTACGACACTTAGCTTCGACTGTCTTCTTTTCTTGTTTCCTTGCATTTTCTCGGAAATTTTCGTAGTTAATAGAAAACTGCATGCAAGATGGTCAGTATAACTTTATGCTGAGCGATCTGGTTGATAGTTGCAAGGAAAAAAAATGCTTGTGTGGGAATTAGAAGAGGAAGCAAAACAAGGTTGCGATCGTTCGTCTATTCTGCCTCCTTGTCCAGTTCGGGTGGCACTATTTCTCCTCGTGACATTCGAGAGGTGAACTCAGTTTTCGGCAATTACACGGAGTGTTGCAAGAACAG